GTTTGTTTACCTGGATGAATCTGTTAAAGATTATGGGAAAAAAAAGGTGAAATAGCCTGACCTATGTGAGTCCTTCAAACTGAAGATTCATTAATCCATCCAAAAAGAAGACTATACTCAGCCTGGAATCCAAGTAGATAGAATGGATACAAGACATGTGAATTGGGAAGCAGACAGGAAGGGTAGACTCGACAACAGAAAAGAAAGGAGTTTCAGGTTTTAAAGAGGGGAAGTGTGAGAATGAAGAGAGGAGGTTAGAGAAGATTTGGGAAGAAAGCCAGGAGAAGCATTGAAAGTAAGAATGGCAGAAGACATTGAATTTTAAACTACAAAATATTCACCTTATTTTTCCCTGTCCTACATGAATGTACCTGAGTTTCCCTGGGCATAACCCTATCCTACATGAATGTCTTGTATTATTTTCTGTGTTGCTTTGATATCTCATTTATTGCTTCACTAGGCACAATCTCTAAGAATAAATAGGTATAATTATAATACCACTTCAGGCTATTGTTAATGATTTTGTAGTTTGTTGTAGTTACTGTACTAGTGAGAACTTGATTTTTCTTTTTTTCTATGCAACACGGTAAAGATTTTTGTGGTTGTATATCTTTTTACACATTCAGACATTAACTATGAAACCATTCCAAAACACCCATGAGGCATTATTTTCCATTCAGAAAAGCAAGTTCTGGCCTCTGAAACATTTATTTAAAAGTAAGGAGAGCAAGCAAGAATAAAAGTCTAATCCCTGAATAAGCAGTCACTAAACCTTCTATTGAGGAGACATGCTAAGGCAAATGAGTCCAGCAGACTGCCAGAGGGCCACTGTTAGAATTGAGTATGTACCAACTCTGTTCTTCACAGTGCACCACGTTCCAAAATACATCCTAGAAAACATTTTCCACAATTTCTGAAAGTACTTTCTGCCTACTTTGCTTTTTACAACTGTTTACAGGCTGAATTAAAAGGATATTTCCTGTAAAACTCAGTTCTGATTCTGGAAAAGAGCTACAACAAAAAATCCCCTTTCATGTTCAACATAATCAAAAGTGGTGAATTTCATAATACAAAAGCTATGTCTTGTGTTTTAGGGCATTAGTCCTACAGATTCAACCCACATGAAAGACAACCCTGTGTGAGTTGTGGAGCTGTACACTAATACCTACTGAAGGCAAGGCAAACTCGGGCTTGGTAACAGTAAAAAAGAACTAAGTCTTATAACCTAAATGTTGTGTGCTAATGTGTGAGGTAAGAAGGGTTTTCATTTTCAGAGATTATGTGGCTAACAAACAGAATCAATTACATTTTGCATGTAGATTAAGTTCTGATGCAGAATCACTTGAGTCATGAATGTTGCAATGCAATAGCCACTTGATCACAACTCAGACTTCTATCTGGACGTGTATATTTTACTGTAACATCACAGCAAGAAATTATATGGAAGCATAGTATTTAAAGCTATTAACTGTATTAAGTCTACGGCCATAGGAAATTTAGAAGATGTTGGCAAGACACTGGTTTTCAACATTTTTTTGAATAGAAGTACATTCGTATTATTTATCATTAGTTACAGCTGTGGACCAGATAGTGAAGTATCATCATCATAAAAATTCTTCTCTTCTGTTTAGTACCCCAAATCTGCAGTACTCATTTGTGTTTTAGATCATACTTGATACTAAAGTTCTTCATATATTTTGCAATATCACAAAGCAATGCTTGTGAAATCAAAGAGGACTGACATATTAAAAAAGAAAAGTAACCTGATGTCTGCTGAGCAGAACCCTGTAGTTCTTTCTTCTTTATTTCCACCAAGGTTTCATTTTATGTCTTCTCTTCTTACCCTTTTCATCCTGTTCTGTATCTCCACATATTGCACTGTGTTTCAGTAGTTAACACCTAAACTCAGGATTCTGAAGATGTCAAGTTCCTTTCCTATCTCTGATCCTGATGTAATACGTGGATTTGACTCATCTGGTCAGTGCATCTGTAAAATGGAGTTGTTTGCATTTGCCCAGCAGTGTGGCATATTTTGAATTGAACTAAATCATTTCCTGTGTGATTATGAGGTATTATTAAGTACTAAAGACTTCAGTTCACTAAACAGCTTAATTAGCTGGGAAGCATTTTCTCCCAGACTGATGAAATGGAAACAACTGCATTTTTAGTAAACTTCTATGTAGTTAGATGAGTAAGCTAGGCTTTCATTCACTTTTCTTCTCCAAGACAGGATCAGCTTTCCCTGTGACATTCCTGCAGCTTCTTGTTCAAACTTTTTAAAAAAATTTGCAATGAGAACATATGTGACTTTTTTTCTCTAAGTTTTGACACTCTAATTGTAAAAAGAATCTGACTTTACAATTATGAAACCTGCCACTCCTTGCTCTCTCTATAACGTACTTTGAGGTAAGTTTATTCCTGTATCTTCAGATATTTTTGCCTGCTTAATATTTTTGCATATGTAAGCTCTTTTTCAGATTTCTTCTCTCAAAACTTTAATTTTAAAATTGAAAGGCTGGTGCTCTCAATTTTTAAAGTTGCAGCACAACTTTCTTAGTGCTACATAGAAGCATACAAGGCCTTAATTTGCAACACAGATTTGAATTACTGGCTTGATCTTGGGCATGTCTTATCACTGTGGACATGTGTGGTGCTCACTGGACTGCTGGCTGTCCCTAGTTACCATAACAGGCTCATCTGTTCTGCTTGCCCATATGTGGTGGGACTGCGTGCCTGAAATGCCCTCTCTTGCTGTCCTTGCCTGCCTCGTGGTGATGCTAACTTTTTACCTCACCTTTCCTTATGGAACAGCTCCTCCTGCTGCTCCTTGACACACACAGCCATTGTAACCTATGACTCAACTATAATTCTCCCTTATGGACTTCCACAATGTTGAGTATCTTTTGAAATAGATGCACTGATAGTAGCCTTTCTATAAACAGTGTATGGGGATTTATGTACTTTTTTAACTGACTGCATGAGGATGGGGTGTTCAGGTTCAGCTAAGACACATCTGCTCTCTTTAATGTTTGGCTCATGGGTAGATATCATGAAAGTTGGCTTGAGAGACCTCCATCTGCATCTGCAGGGACTTCAAATGGGGTGCCTGTTAATCAACATTGAGATAGTAAGGCTACATAGTGTAATGGAGGACCTTCTTCACAGGTTCCAGAATGCGATATGGTGACACTTAATGATGGGTATGAGGTCACTAACATAGAACCTTGAAGTGACCTTCTTAAAGTCAGAAAGATGGTTCCTGCTGTTCCACCCCAATGCAGAGCCAAATACGACCGTGGGAACTGGAGAGGCTCATTTTCTGCAGGGTGAAGAAATTATCAATCCATCAGCAGTTCATTTTGCCCCTTCCTGGAGAAAAAGATCGGCCCAGGACTTTTTAGATAATTCCTGAGCACGAGCATAATGGAGAAAACAGCAGCAGCAGAATCAAATCCAGCAGCCAGAATGGCCGCAGTGTCAGTCAGCTTGTCAGCTAGTTGCCAGACAGGGTAAGATTAGCCTGGCTTTTGAGGTCTGCAGTGAATATAGGCATGTGAGTCACTCCAGGTCTCTTAGCCCTGGAAACTAAGATCATTCCCTGGTATGCGTTACCAGGACAATAGACAATTGCACAAAACAATTTGAAGTTCTGTAGTTTGTTACATATGGAATGAATTCTAATATACATAGTCAACCAAAGCTAAATTTAGAATAATTTCCATAAGCAATTTGCTGACATGATCTGTGTTCAATTCTCTAATTGTACCTCATTAGGACAATATTGTAGTATGTTAATAACTACTAACAGACGTTAATCGCTGGTTAAGTAATTTAATTAAATATCTAACCTGTTCTTTTGAAACATCTCCAGCATAAATAGAATTTATACTATTTGTTTAGAGCAGCCTCTGTACTTCCTATCCTACTTAATTAGATTCTGTAATGGATGGATTGTATTGCTACAAGTTGATGGATCCACTATCCTAATGGTGCATGGATGCCATGGCTCTATTTTCCTGAGATCAAGATAGGTGGGGGCTGAGCACTTACCCCTTGGGCAGGTGTCCCAGCCCATGGCGGGGACATGGGGGGGTGGGGGGATTGGAACTAGATGATCTGTAAGGTCCCTTCCAATCCAAGTCATTATATGATTCCATCATTCTACGAAACGTAGAAACACACACAAGCACATACTGTCAGAATACTCAAGCACGCAGCTGGCCATGCAGATCACAGAGACAGAAATACTTCACCTTCTATAATGTGCTTTGAAAATTTAGCTAATGACACTAAGAAACCATAAGAATTAGCAAGACATTTAAAATCTAAGCACCCAGAACATGGAAACAAAGCTCTACAATTTTTTCAGTGACATTTAAAGCCATATGGCATTTACTCGAGTACTTTCTTGCTTCACAGCAAAAGACAAAAAGCCACACAGCATCAGAGAAATGTCTATTCTTCCTGCCATAAAATGTAAAAATTACTGTGATAATCTGCAGAAACCAATAGAGCAGCAAATTAATATACATTCCTTTGTCAGCAAACACTGTTGGAAGAAGCAACTAGCTTCAAATACAGTGTTTTCAGTTTGGAAAATGGATTTGCATTTGATGGGTCATTACAGCTGCTGAACTAGGGTTTTTTCAACTGCAGTTTTTCACTCCAGAGTCTGATGTCCCACTTTCGATGTCTATATTTGTTTTTTATATCTGATGCCTTAATCTCTCCCTGACAATTGCACAATTATGACTTCTGAGCTTATGAGAAGCTGTATTTGAATTTTTATCCAATTTGCATGCTTAGAGAAATCAGCTATCAACCACCAAAAAAATGTAAAATAGCATAAATATTGAATGACATTATGATACTTCTCCCTCTGAGACAAATAGGTGAGCATGTGTCCATAACAGCTCATTGGGATTGACATTGCCTTGCAGATCTGAGGCTTTCAGGAGCCCAAGAGAAGCCAACCAAGAATTGCAAGCTCTTGGGTCACAATGGCCACAACTTTTGTCCTCCTTCTTTTATCAGTTGCTATAATTGAATCCAAGGCAGGAGTTCTAGGATTTGGAATTATCTTGACAGTCACTTTGTCTAGCTGCATCAGGGGTAAAATATGGTCTCCACATGATATGACCATGATCTCTCTGAGTTTATTCAGGTTCATTTTGCAGTCCTGGACTATTCTGAATATGTTCTTAATTATATTTTGTGATACCTCCTATTATGAAGAAAATGTGTTTGTAGTTCTCAAGACAGTCTATATGTTTCTGAACTACTCCAGCCTCTGGTCTGGTGCGTGGCTTAGTGTCTTCTATTGTGTCAAGGTTGCCAGTTTTACACAGTCCTTCTTCATCTGGCTGAAGCAAACAATTGTCAGTCTTGTGCCCTGGTTGTTGATCACATCGTCACTCTACTCCTTCACAACTGCACTTCCATTTGCCTGGGGTGCCTACAGCGTGCACAACTTCACTGCTCCTTTAACCATGTCAAACTCTTCAGAAACAGGAGTCACAAGGAAAGACAGTGTGACTTTATTGATTCTTCTCTGTAATGCAGACATAGGTTTGCCTTTAATATTGTCTGTTGTTTCAAGTATCCTTCTGATTCGGTCTCTGTGGGTGCACACCAGGCAAAGTAATGCAAGTGGCTTCAGGGATCCCAGCTTAGAGGCCCATATGAGTGCCATCAAATCAGTCTGTTCCTTCCTTATTATCTACATTACATATTTTATTTGTTTGCTCCTCCTAATGTGCAATACTTTTTTACCCTCAGGTATTGGGAAATCCATATGCACAGTTGTAATGGTTGCCTGTCCTGCAGGATGCTCAATGGTCCTAATCTGGAGCAATCCCAAATTTCGAGAGGTCCCAGCTAGGATTTTGCACCACACAAACTGTCATGTCAGAACTAGATTCCGGTAAAAGACAATGACTTAGCTTAGACTTTCTAGTTTAGATCCAAATTAAGTAAATTGGACTCATCACAGGTATAGAGTAATAGAAGTCGGAATGAGTAGATCAGGGCACCATGGAATCATGTAGAAGGTGGGAATTTGCTTTATGTGGATGGGACTTTTTATTATGAAAAACTGTGTAAGTTCTCTCCTATTTTCAGTGAGGATTGCCTGTGGAATACAAGGACTGTACTTGCTGTGCTTTCCTTGGAAATCACAACTGTTTCTCTAAGACAACAGACAAACAAGGCCAAGACTCAGACAAGAATGTCATCACCTGAAATGCTTTAAGTTACAAATCATGATACTAACAGAACAGACCATGCTTGTGCACAGGCAAGCTCAAAGTTTAGATGTGAATATGACACTTGAAGGCTGTTTCTGGAGACTACAAACCCACAATGAGGATTCTAAGGAACTCCCAATAATTTCAGAATTTCTTACTGATCCTTTTTGACTACTGCTGCACTCTGGAAAGAAACTTTTGTTTCTTCTAAAGTCATCTTTAAGAATCCAGTATGATTCAGTAGAGAATGACACGGCCTTTTTAGCTTCCTGTTCTTGCTGAAGTAGTAATCAGTGTCTGTGTTGCCAGCAAAAAGATACATGGGAAGACTCCCCAAAATCCTGTGATTGGAGCTAATAGGAAAAATCTCAGCACATTATTGTTACATTAGGACTGGAACTTCATGATCCTTTTCAGGTGCAGTGGGAGTCCACATTCATTTAAAGTGATTGTGACTGAAGCATATATGACTTGAGTCTTGAGTTGACTAAGCCCATTCTGATTTAATGTATCTGCTTTTGATGTTGTCAATCTATTGTCAATAGGCTTGAAGGAACGTATCAGGATTCGAAGTGAGACTGTGGCAGAATTGGTTTATTTTAAAAGTTCCAAAATAGCAAGTTAAAGCATGAATTGTGTGGGAGTCTTCCTTCCCCGTATAAATAAACTGTTTCACAGGTGGCAGTAGTGACTTGCACAAAAATTTTTTATACCATTTAACAGAGCTGGTGAAAATTCAAGACAAGGCAATGATACCATGAGGTGGCATTGTCACTAGCAGTGAAAAATGCTGGTTCTCAGCTTAGCACCCTAAGGAAGAAACCTCAGACCTCTCTGACCACAGGAACAAGCAGGACACATGGGCTATGCTCAAGCCAAAACCCCTGTGTTTTCTCCTGCTCAGGGCTGAGCTCTAAGGCACATGACTGATCAGCAGGGAGACCCTGGACAGCTGCTCTCACATAATTTGGTTTATGTTCCATTACTCCACGAATCTCATGGTCATGAGATTCGAAAGAGGTTCCTGTGCTATTTTCCTGGCTCTTTGAGTAGATCTTCCCTCCAAGGCTGTCTTTGCAGAGAATGAAATCGAAAAGTCACCTCTGCATTAACCTGCATTTTGGGATCTGAGAGGGATTTTTTGCCTGTTTTGTTTGTAAGCTGTAAGTTCATTTGAGTTCACCATCTTAAACCTACCAGTTTGCAACCTGAAGAAATTTTGAGTGTCATGGAATCAGACTCTTCTAAAACATCCACTTCAGCATCTTCATTGATGATCTGGACATGGAGACTGAGTGCCCCTTCAGTCAGTCTTCAGATGACACTAAGTTGGGAGGGAGTGTTGATCCGCTCAAGGATAGGAAGGCTCTACAGAGGGATCTGTGCAGGCTGGATCAATGGGCTGAGGACAACTGCATGAGGTGCAGGATCCATGGGTCCTGCACTTGGGTCACAACAACTCTTGTGCAGCCCTACAGGCTGGATGAGGAGCGTTTTGAGAGCTCTTTGGCAGAAAAGCACATGCGTGTTCTGGTTGGCATGCAGCAGAACATGAGCCTGCAGTATTCCCAGGTGGCCAAAAAGGCCTGTATCAAGAATGGTGTAGCCAGCAGGAATAAGGAAGTGGTACAGTAAAACAATCACAGAAACAAACAGAGTTCAAGGCTCATCCTGCTGTAACACTAGCACTAGGAGATAATGCAAATCATGTGGCTCTTTCCATTGAAAATCTAGAAAAAAAAAAAAACCCACAAGATTTTCTAGGAAACTCCTCAAATGTAGCATAAAGCACAAATTCATGGGTGAAAGATTTAAATATTTAGTGAAAAAGTTTAGAAACCTTATCTTGCAAAAAGGGACAAACATAGACATACAAGCCACCTGGTTCCTATTGAAAATTGAATAATTTTGATAGTGAGAACTGAGATCCTGGCATTTAATTAAAAACTAGAAGTGACCTAGAGTGACTAGGTGAAGCAAAGGTCAGAGCATAATGCACCATAATTTACACCAGTTTTCAGCAGTCACTGTATCAGTTGTTCCATTTTTAGCTGATTGCACACTCATCATGAAATCCTGGACAGTTATCTCAAGTTCATTTTACAACACATGACTTGAATAAATAGTGATTTCATGACTACTTGGAATTAACAAAAACTTGAAGGGGAAAAAGACTAACATAGAATCATATTAAAAGTTTTTTTTAGTTACTGTTTCAAGGAAAAATGATCCAGAAAGGAACAATAGCCACAAAAAGAAACTCTAAATTAAAATGTCTCAGAGAAAGTGCAGTGAACACATCTGTCTTAGACCACAAATCAAAGAAGTCACTAAAACTTTACTTTCAGTTTGTTCAACTCTTGGGGACAGAAATATCCAACACATCATAAGATCAAAATACACTTTATTCTGAAACTGACCAACGTCTTATCATTTCTTACAATATAAACCACATTGACTTGCAGTTGAGGTTTCCCTAAACCCAAATTTTGTTAAATATGTATATTTCTTTAAAGTACACTTACCTTAAGTCATACTTTTGCTGGAAAATTTCTGACTGACACTTCTCCAAAAGCATTTGAGCTCACAAGACAGTAACAAAATGTATGACTAGCTTTTGGAAGGTTTTAAAAAATACATTCATAAAGATACACAAAGGTAAATACCACACCAGATGACTTCCTTTCAGATATTTCTTCATACCATTGTCAGTTTGAGATACAGAGATTAATCCTTCTCAAAGCTCAAGTTTATCTTAACCACAGGACACATTTCATTTCTCTGAAACTCAAGGTCCCTCCAACACAGCCCGACTAAGGAAGAAAGTGGTTTCCTTCCTAACTGCTTGTTTTCCTTCAGACAGCCCCGTCTATGCCTTAGCATTAAGTGTATTGGCTTCATCTCTTAGCTCCATCTGTGTTTTGTTTAAAGATAATGGCAGTTCAAAGACACATATACTTACCCAGCCCCAAAACAAGTTTTGAAGCAGTCTTATTACCTTTGGACCACAAGACATGCACTTGGGTGTGCTTATCTTCCTCACTTCCATACACGTACGGGACTGATGGTCTTAAGACCTGCAGGAAGCTTTTAGAAAAGTATACAGCCTTCAGTGCAAAAGGGTTCATACTCCAAGCTGAAACAATCAGGTAAGAGCTGTTTGTCTCTTAGTTATGTTGCAGTGAGCGACATATTTTAAAATTCGAAGTTTTAATGTGTGGCAACTATAAACGTATAAATTTCACATAGATACAAGAGAACTGTGTCCAAAGGGTTTGGAAGTAAAGATTACTGCTGCAAGTTGAAACTATGGGATAGGACAGTGTCTTGTGGGACGTGTGCTGGCCTATGGATCAGATCTGGCTCTGCATTTCTGTCATAAAAACCCACATGGGATGAATTTGCATGAATGAGCAGTGCCTGTCTGTGTGAAACCAGAAACCGGATTGAAGAAAGAATGTGTAGGTGCTGAGAGACAGCATGTAAAACTCTCCCAAGAATACACAAGGTGTGAAGGCTCTCTCTCCTGTGGATTCACAAGAACAGAAAAACTCAGAACATCAAGATTCTCAAGTCTGCCAAGACCACAGTGCATCATGATACCAGGTCAGTGAGTGTCTGAGTGTGAGGTAATAATGGACCATACTGTGTGAATTGTACTCTGCTATTAATAATAACAACTGCTTGGTTCTATTAACAATTTAACTAGTAAGAAGTGATCTAATAAATATTGATTGTGGTCTTTTTCTCTCCTGACTTTAACACTTACCAGGAAAATTTACAATTCTATTCATGAAACCATCTTGTCCTTGTCTGACTCTCTAGCACTAGCACAGGCTCTTTAGTGGTTGCCTGCCTGAGTCCCACCTGAACCTCATTTGACCAATAAATATTCCACCAACACTGCTCATTCTCCCTTCAGTGACCTGCCTAGTTTGCATATTGTTGATCACAGTGTAGCGAAGTCTGAGATTTTGCATATCCACAGGGCAAAGTCCACTGTCAAGTACCAGATGAAAATGCTGCACTGTCACTATGGAGTAAGGGTTTCTGTCTACTCTGCAGAAACCTTCTCTTATTTCTACAGCAAAAATGACATTCTAGAACAAGGGACCAAGGGATTTAAGGGGATCAGTACAGCCATCAAGTCTGTACCTGTGTTAACCAAAGGAAACTTGACCAGTAATTCCTTTCAGTGATTTTGATCTTGGTCATAATTACATATTGGTCATAATTACATATTACAATAACTACAAAAGTTCTCTTCTGTTAACATTTTAATTGGAAGCTTATTCCAGTCTTTTCTGATTGTTAGAAGCTTCCTTGTGGCATCCAGTCTTACATGTCTTCACAGCAATGTTATGCTTTTCTTCACATTATACTGTCCTTGTTCTAGTTAGTGTTATCCTGTCTCAAAATACTTAGAAGCAAAACTTTGTTTTGTTAGGCTGACCGTTTTTGGAAGTCTTTTCATCGCCCTTTGACAATAACATAGACTTTGTATTCACCTGATCATCCCTGAAGGCTTTCTTTGTATTGTTCCAACTCTAGTACATCATTTTGGTGAGCAAAGTATTGTGTTCAGTTTCTTAATCAAAATATCTCAGAGTTTTTCTGCTGCTTGCTGCTTGATTTTCATATAATCATAGCATCGTTTTAGTTGGAAAAGATGTTTAGGATCATCAGGTTCAACCATTAACCTAGCACTAAACCATGACCCTAAGTGCCACATCTACACATCTTTGAAATAAGTCCATGATGAGTGACTCAATTACTTTCCTGGGGAGCCTGTCCCAGTGTTTGACAATCCTTTAAATAAAGAACTTTTCCTAATATCCAACCTGAAACTCCTCTGGCATAACCTGAGGCTGTTTTGTCACATTCAGTTGCTTGTTACCTGGGAGAAGAGACTGATTCTCACCTCACTGCGACCTCCTTTCAGGCAGTTGTGGAGAGCAATAAGGTCCCCACGAGCCTCCTTTTCTCCAGGCTAAACAACTCCAGCTCCCTCAGCTGCTCCTCATATGACTTATTCTCCAGACCCTTCAACAGCTTCACTGCCGTTCTCCGGACATGCTCGAGCCCTTCTATGTCCCTGTCATGGGCCCAGAACTGAACCCATCACTCAAGGTGTGGCCTCATCACTGCTGAGTACAGGGGGACAATCACTTCCTTAGTCCTGTTGGCTACACTATTTTTGATACAGGCCAGGATGCCACCAGCCTCCTTGAGCACAATCCTGGCTCATGTGCAGCTGGCCATCGACCAGCACCCACTGGTCCTTTTTCACTGGGCAGCAGACATCTGCTGATGTCTTGGATCTCCTCTTCTCACACATTCCCTGTGTTTACCTTCTGGACAGTAAGTAGTACCACAGCATTGTGCAAGGATGGCTGAGGTACCCATTCCCATTCTCTCCCATCCCTCTATGACTTTCTCTGCTTCACTTCTGTTTCTCAGAAGATGATTTCCATGTTTCCTTTCCCATCCTCTAAAAGAGACTATATTACTTCCTTTGTTGCTTATCCTGCATCAGTGTGCATGCCTGAGATCCTGCAAAGACCCTTGTGTAGTCCATGTAATCCAGAGGAGCTTGTCAAAGTTTTTTTCAGTCATCTTCACTACAATTTTCACAAGCAATTTTCCATTAGACAGCTCTGTACTCCCAGATTTGAAAACTCTTTTAGAAAGTTTTTTTACAGGCTACAAGGAAGGACTTGACTTTCTACTCTATATACTTCATATTAATGTCCACAGGGAGGGATTCCTCATGCTGCCATGGGGATGAATCCTGGAAGGTGTCAAGAATATCAAGGAGCTCTTCATCTGCAGGAGCGAGAGATTGTAGGGAACCCTGTGCATATCCCTACACTGCACAATAAACAAGTAAACTCAAGCGCTCTCCGAGCATGGAACACCATGGCTCAAGTGCCAGTTCAGTCTCTACCTTTGCTTTGGGAAACTTCAAGGAAAATATGATATAGAGGGAAATAATCATTTGCAGTGCGGGTGCAAGTCAGTCTTGGCACTGAACCAAGGAATCAGTTCCCAACTAACTTATGTTTAGAGCAGTAGACAGTATTTGTGCTGATTGCTTCTAAAATAAGATGGGCCTCTAACCACATCCTTCGTTGGTTGCTCCAGATGAGAGCCCCAGAGTCTCCATGGCACCTGCTATCTTAAGTGAGTCTGTGTGAAAGCAGTCCCTACACAATTCCCAGGTGTGGGGTCCTGCAGCAGGATTCTTTCAGCTACTCCCATGGGACATGCCATGGATGGTATCCATGCAGCTGGGTTCAAAGCCTTGCTACAAGAACATCCTTGTGCCTGCCAGTGCCCTATGCTACATTTCTTTGCAAATACAAAGTGGATGGCCTGAGGAGCCTCAGAAGACAGAATCCTCTCTTCTACCCTAGTAATCTCTCACCATATCTATGATAAGAACTGGAGATTTCCTTATGAAACAAGGGTTTCAGTCACCTCAGGAAAGAGCAGAACTTCTGGATATGTAGACCAAGTTATGGCTTAATGGATATGGTGCTGGATTTTCTTCTGCTGTCTGTGCAGGAATGGTGTCCCAGAAAGCCCCTCTATCCTGACAGCGGATACCGGCAGCAATGCTGGGCTGTGCAGTGATAACGAATTGGTTACTTTTCCATATAGGAAACATTTTGAGTCCAAGTCTGTCAGAGGATGCAGCAAGGCCGTGCAGCCTGACCACGAGAGAAAGAATGTAAATAAGAGGTGAACATCCAATCGTATGTGAAGGCTAGTGGTAAATATAGATAATAGAGCTAAGAATAGTGTTAGTATGTAAGATTCTAGAGAGACAGTGTGTGAGTGCTGCTGTGTGAAGACAATGTAATATTCAGGATGAAGAGAATAAAAGCTGAATTTAGGCCATCATCATCTAAGTGCCCAGTTTTATTTACATGGCCGTCCTCATATTTAATACAACACAAGTCTATTAGGAAGATACCACTAAGGTCCTTCACAGACTTTGCTAGATAGATAAGGCTGGATGACTGATGTGACATCATGTTGCCACTGAACTTGTCTTTGAATAGATGTCTTCTCCTAGTCATTCAACCAGAAGCATGTCCTGTTGTCACTAGACATATTCAGGACTCCTTCAAGTCATCATGGGTAGTTTTTAGGTAACCTCTCATGCCCACTGGGCACAGGGAAATCCATGCTGGCAGTCTCAACCTAACTGAATACTGATCCAGATGACAAGCCTGTCTGCAATGGAAAAGAGAAGAAAAGGGGAGTACCAGAATGTTCCCAGATGAGAATTCTGACTTCTAACATCCATGAGCACTGGCATCTACCTGGTTACTTGGACATAGCACTCATGAAGGAGGCTCTGGTCATCAAGGGCTGTATACTGAGAAACAAATCTTAATCTTAGACTTCCTGTAGTGGTTTTAAATGTCAATGAGAATTCAGTTGATGGCCCCTAATCAGCAAGGAATAGCTTTAAGTGAAACCACTGAATCTCAGTACAGGAACAGACATTATAATGGATACCTTGTCTAGCTGTCATTAGTGCTTCTGTAGTGGCTCTTTCCTCAGCCTGACAAGATTTCTAATGGAGTGGCAATAACTTTCTGTTTTTCAGAGGTCTATATCAGGCAGCAGAAGCAGGATGCTCTGCAAGAGAAGGTCAGCCAGGAACTGAAGCTAACAGCAAATCAGGCATAAGGCAAGAACTTCATGAGGGATGCAGTCCCATAGTACCTGAACAATAAAATAGGTCCAGCAACTGCAGCCAGGTTAAGCCAGCAGTCCAGGCAATGCAGACAAAACCATAGGAAGGTGGTAGTCTGAAATCAAGCCATAAAGTCAGTCAACAGGTCAGGGTCAGTATCAGCAAAGTTTATGGCCAGACCCAAGCTTGGCTACCCTATAGCTCTGAGCTCCTGAGCAACTCCTGAGCAAAGAATAGGCAGCCTCTGGCCAGACCTCTCTACTCTTCCTCATGAAGCTTTTTCTGCAGCAGTCTGACCAGAGGCTACATTGCTGCATTATACAGACCTTGAACAAGCAGAAAAAGCCCAGCGAGAAGGAGAAGAGGTTGCAGAGCTTGGTATTCTAAGGACCCAATAGTTTGGAACTTAGGATTCTGGATAAAAAGTAGATAAATGCCATCAAACAAAAGGAGTATGTGTGTCACTGTTAAAAAGGGGATTGTGTGTTTAGACTGATGTAAACAGCACTCTGCAATTTGTTCCAGTTGCCAGAATGAGTCAAGTAGCCATTTAATTAGTAGCAGCTTCTGTTTCCATAAATTCACCATTCTAAAGTGAATGAATGAGTGGGTAAAACTACCAGCTATGGTCACCTGAAACAAAAAGAAACTCAGTAGAGGAAATAGGAGGTCCTGTAATTCACATCCTAAGGAAGACGGTCTTTCAACAGCTTCTGCCCATAAAGTTTTGACCAACTAAGGAAGCCCTGAGAAGCATCTGCCTCAAGACAGAGCTGGTGTAATTTTTTTAGTCACAGAACTACTGCTAATGATACACAACCTCTTGTGTTGATTGGAGAACAATTTTTCCCGGTGAGATGGATAAGCTACAAATTCAGGGATTTTCTTTGCCTTTTTCTCTTCTAAACTGATTCATAAATTACCATGGTTCTGCACTTTTACATTCCTTTACTAGGTGACAAATAAGCACTTTGCGTACTGCTCTGCCAGTGCCACCAATGTTGGTCCCATAGCAAAACAATTCCGATGATCACAGCAGTTGTGCAATCATCCTTCATATAAGGTCACAAGCACACTTTTCAAATTTTATTGGAGGTTTTGGTTCTTTCAGGTTTGAGATTAATCTATTGATAACGTCTAAAAAGGTGAACAATATTTCTATTGGTTCCTTCATGTAGTTCACGTAGCATGTGAATCTATATATTTCCTCTTTTGTAGTCATTTGTGAGACACAGAAAAGCCCATGCAGAGGTTGATCTAGGCAATGTCTAAAGAGTGAAGTCTGTAATCAAAATGGCAACAAAAGGACATCTTTCTGCCCCAGTGTTGTGGTTGCTTCTCCTCTCCATTCAGGTGTCCCTGGGTAAGTACATACTTTATTTCACATAAGGCAGTGATAAAAGACAAGTACGTAAATTTAGTATAAATACGTTGTTATTCTATCAACCTCTAAGGCAAGGAGACAAGAAGGTGTTTAAATCTGTTTCTGTCTTTGATTCAATCTCCTTGGTGATCCTGAGATAAAGAAGGGTGAGCCATCTGTAAAATTTTTATATTTTAATCAGACTGGCCATCCTCATAGGAATCCAAGTCCAAGTTTCATAAAGAGTCAAGCTGTAATGGAAACAAACTGGATATTCTTATTACTGTCTTACCTCTCATTCTGAGCTGTAGACAGAATTGCTGGTGACAAGCTGGACATGAGTCAAAAATGTGTGCTTGTAGCCCAGAAAGCCAACTCTGAGCTGGGTCTTTGAGCTGACCTTACCATCCCTCCAATAGTAGGCATGGGCCCTCTGATCCCTCTGGTAGCCAATTCCTCCAGTTACCTCTCTCCCAAAGACACATACACATACTTGGCTCCCAGGCCAATTAACCCACAGGATAATCTAGCTTGATATACACTGGCAATCACACACTGACATGTGGTACCCTCACCCACTCCAGTTGCTGGTGTCTGTTGTGGTGTGCTTTGTGAATCACAGCAGGGACGTTACTCAGCATTTCCTAGCCCTGTTAAGTCAGAAGAAGAGAAAGCTTGCCTGTCATTAGAAATAACTTAAATTTTAGCTGTGCACTTAGCTCAAACTTGTAAATACAAATAAAGCTCCTTGCAAAAAAACCTTTGAGTTGGACCATTTAGAAAGGTGAACCAACTAACTCTGATGTAAGAGTAAATAAAGAGCAATAATAATCTCGCTAGCCATCTGTAACAGATAATCATGATCAGGCACTGTCCTTTTCATAACCTTGATCCGTCTCTGTGTTTGAAGGTGCTGATGAATTGAGGCTATCAAATGGAACTGGCCCCTGCTCTGGGAGAGTGGAAGTAAAACATGAGGAGCAGTGGGGAACTGTGTGTGATGGTGACTGGACCATACAAGATGCTGAGGTTGTTTGTAAGCAACTACAATGCGGATCAGCTGTTCAGGCCCTTAATCGAGCTCCTTTTGGAGAAGGGACTGGACCGACATGGTTGTATCGAGTTGATTGCCGTGGTGATGAACCTGCTCTCTGGAACTGCACACATACAGGATGGGGTGCTTTTACCTGCCCTCATTACTTTGATATTGGAGTGATCTGCTCAGGTAAGAAGTCATTCAGCCTTGTAGAACAGAAAAAAATACAAGACTGGGATCAGACTTTGTCCTCGTACTGCTTGTATTCAGCCACAGCAAGCTGCACCAGCACTACGTCTTCTGCTGACTACCAGTGCAAGTCTACTTTGCCTGAACACAGCAATAACATACAATGGGCATATCAAATGACATAGAACAGAAAAAGAAACTATTTGTTTCTATCACAGTTCTCCCAGGCAACAGGACAGCAGTACTAAACTTCTCCATGACTGGGAACAGGAGCTAAAAAAGTGGGTGTAGATGGAGAAGCAAGCAAATACAGGGTTATGCCATACAATTGCCTTTCTTCTCCAGATCTTCACATAAGCTAAGACAGGACAGTCTTCAATGGCAAACAAATCCAATATCTGTTTGGCTGCTTCTTCTGCAAGATATGCTTGGTTTTGCTCTTTGGATAAAGCACGACTGCAAGAGGTTTTTCCTTACCAGCTACAAACCTTACATTTGTCCTTTTCGATTTATAGAAGGTTCCTCTCAGCCCATTAATACAGATGTCTAGATCTCAGAATGGCAGCTCTGCTTTCGTGGTTATCTCCCTCCACCTCCCCAAAATGATAACATCACCTCCTCCAGGTTGTTGGTAATGACCCTGAGCAGAATGGGACCCAGGAAAGACCCAACAAAGCGGTATTCCACTTGCCACCAGTCTTCAGGCAGAGTGCAACCCACCAATCACTATTTCGAGCCTGACCATTCAATCAGCTGTTTAACCATGTTGTCCTTCCACCCAGACTGTAATATCCTAGTTTTTGGACATAAGAATATTATGCAGGACAGAGCTAATGACTGTGCTAAATATGAGGTAAATTACATGAGCTGCTGTTCCCTCATTCATAAATCCACTTTCATCAGACAAAGCAATAAGGTCCCACAGCCATGATACACTCTCAATAAATCCATTCTGACTCTTCCCATTCACCTTCCTGAGCCCAGAAATGTGTCCCAGGGGAGTTACTCCATAATTTTTGCAGGTACCAAAGTGAGGTTGATCAGCCTGTAGATCTTCAGTCTGTCTTTTTAGCCTTTTATGAAGATGGGTGCAACATTTCCTGTTTCCTCTTCCTGGAAAGAAGGAAGCTTTGGCTTCCTATTCATTTAACACACTAGTAAATGGATATTTATTTATCTGTTTAGCAGTTGCAACTTCTCAGTCATTGGTTCAAAGATTCCCTACTTCTATAGCTTCCCAAGGACTTAATATTTTCATATACTAAGAAATAAGCGATCTCATACACCATTTTCTTTCTTGTCAGTGGCATACAGGAATTGCCCCAATCATTATTTAAAAGTATCAGTGGTCCTCAGAGAAGTGGCGTGACTTGCCTATGAAGGTAGAGGAGTTATGAAATTAGGTCAATATAACCAACCTTTGATTCTGGGTTTTTTATGGTTTGTGTGGTTTTTTTTTTTTTCCCCAGGCTTCTCTGGTCTACGTCTGACTGGAGGAGACACTGCCTGCTCAGGAAATCTGAAAGTAAAGCAAGAAGAAACTTGGGCTACTGTCTGTTTTTCACACATTGATTTCAAAACTGCCTCTGTTATATGTAGTGAGTTAGAGTGTGGCCAGGCTGTGGATACCTTGAAAGGAACTCACTTTGGTGACAGACATGAACTGATCTGGCAAGAAGAGTTTCACTGTGTAGGGAATGAGACTAACCTTGCACACTGTCCCAGGAACCTACACCACACTACCACGTGCTCTCATGATGCCACCATTGTATGTTCAGGTGAGACTTTGGACTGATGAACATAATTTAATTGTGTCCTATATGTCTTCTTCCTGTTAACTCACAGTTCAGAGCCTCTGCATACTCATTTCTGTGGTCCTCAGAATTCTTGGATGCTTCCCCTATCATGCCTTAAGGGAGGCCAGGAAATAACAAAGAGCAGCCCTACCAGACAGACTTCTTTTTCAGAGCTGGCTTATCAACATCCTGGTCTAACATGCTTTCCAATAACCTGAGACACAGTGAGTGCTAGTTCCTTGCAGCTAGTTTATGGCAGCTAGAGCTCTCTTACAATTTTCAGTGCAATAGCACAAAAACCAAAAAGTAACAGCTAAGTTCCTTTATTCTCCCTGCAGGCTATGGCGGGTACAGGCTGGCAAATGGCAGCACCACATGTTCAGGGAGAGTAGAGCTTCTTCATGGAGGCACATGGGGAACTCTCTGTGACTACCTGTGGGATTTACCAGCTGCCAATGTCCTCTGCCAGCAGTTAGACTGTGGAGTTGCCCTACGGATTCCAGGTGGACAGTCCTTCGGGAAAGGAAATGGATCTGTCTGGAATGGCACATTCAGCTGCAAGAAGAATGACCCTCTCCTGAGAGGCTGTCCCGTGAGTGCGCTAGGTCATGATGAGTGCCCTGCTGGAAAAGATGCTCGTGTGGTATGCTCAGGTGAGCAGTGCAAAGGTATAAGAGGAGAACTGAAAAACTCCTTCTTTGAGGAAAGATACCGACCCAAAATTCAGAGGGAGTCTGTGGAGTCAGGTTCTGTCTTTTGTCTGCTGCTACAGGAGTCAAGGCTGCACTTCATCTGTACCACAAGGCTGCTCCCTGTGAAAGGCTCCTAGTGTCAGGGAACAGCAAGAGCAGGGCTGCTCCACAAGGTAGGATGAGCTGGGGGCACAGAGTGAGGAAAGCACAGTTAGAGTCCTTACCACCAAGGCACAGTCTGAAGCATCTGCAGAGAGGACAGAGGAAGGTGTTGGTAATAAGGTCTATAGACAGTCCCAAACAAGTCAAAGCAATCAATCAAATGTAGGGTCCAGCTGGAGAGAACAGCCAGACATAGCAGGAGACAAGACTGGAGACAGTTACACCTGTCACATACTTGAGGCAAGGAACTGAATTCCTGATCCAGGTTTAAATGAGGCTTGGACCAGCAGTCCGAGGATGCATAGCTGTAGGCCCTAGGTGAGGCTGGTCCAAACAATTAAGGTCTGTTGGTCAACGCAGAGCACCAAAACCTAGTGCCTTGATTTTAAAAATGGCAAAGGGGACCAGATCCTGATTTTTAGTCATTCTTCTGAGTAAAACAGGGTGGACTGAAGTCTAGTTATGAGTATGGAAGTTCCAGTGGGCCAGTGAAATCATTTTTAGTAGTGAATGATAAGGAAAACTCATTCCCAGTTCCCAGTCACTTTCAGGTTGTGCCCATGAGCAGTTACAAATGTAAAGTCTCAGCACTCACTTTCTCTTACATCCAGGGTGTCCAGGGGGCAGGTTGGTGAATGGCACCACATGCTCTGGCATAGTGGAGATCCGACATGAAGGCACGTGGGGAAGACTCTGCCACTCCCACTGGAATTTGCAAGCTGCCAGCATTCTCTGCCGTCAGCTGAACTGTGGCTATGCAAAGTCAATCCATATGGAAGACCATTCAGCAGATTGGAACGGGACTATATGGAGAGATGCTTTTCACTGTGAAGGGACAGAGTCCTGCCTGTGGGATTGTGCTCAAGTTACTTTGGGCAATCCAACCTGTTCAGCCAAAGAAGTAGCCACTGTAATTTGCTCAGGTAAGTCAGAAGTGGCCTTTTATGGGTAGTGCAATTTCAGACCGGAGCAGTGCTAGTGATCTCACTCTCACAAGCAAGGCTGGTATGTCAGTCTGTCTTTAATACTCTTTCCTTTCTTTTACATCACCCCTACAGCCTTTGTTTCAGCATAGAAACTTGATTTAGTAGAGGAATTCACAGTGTTTAGATGTGCCTGACTTCCCACAGGATCTAATCTTCGAGCAGAGAAAGCCTTCTGTGCATGAAAGCAAACAAAGCATAGGCAGTCTCCTTAATCAGTGGCAAGAATTAATTTTTTACCAACATGGAAATTTGTCTTCCATATGTCTCTTGTAAGTTATTCATACTACAGTAAGAGCAGTAAATATTCCTCAATATATTTTCCAACTCTCTTGAGCCCAGGTCCTGCTGAATCACTCAGACTCTCAAGTGGTGAGAGCCGCTGCGATGGGCGAGTTGAGATCTCACTCCACGGTATGTGGAGCAGAGTCCTGGATGACGACTGGAACATTAGGGATGCTCAGGTGGTATGCAGACAGCTTCAGTGTGGAACTGCCGAGAAAGCCTATTACCTTCCAAAGTCTGAGCGAGGTATGGGTCTTGTTGGCTTCAGGAGTGTCCAGTGTACTGGAAATGAGACTCAGCTGATGCTCTGCAAGACCTACCAGTATCAGACAGTGCCAATGGGAGTTTCTGAAGACGTTGGTGTGATTTGTTCAGGTGAGTTACTGTGTGAAAGGTACAGAATGTTTCCTAGGGCTGGCTCCAGGCCACTCTGTGCTGTGGTCTCAGCAGATCTTAAATAGGCATGAGTCTGAGCTTGATAGTTAAGGAAGCATGTGTAATTTACATCATGCTTTCTTCATTTGAATTTCTTAAAGAATTTATCTTCCAGAATCAAAAAGAAGTATTAGAATGCAGAAGCCATAAGAACGCTAATTTGGCCATGATTGCCACATATTCTGACTGATACTTGAGAATTAAATAGCTTTTATTTTGTGACATTTTTAATTTATAAATACCTTCAACCTTTCTAAAGAATATTACAACTGTTTCTACTCTTCTCTGATTTTGTAACCCATCTGTAACAGGAACTGTCTCTGTCTAACTAAATGAGTATAGATAAGATGGCTTTATAAGATGAGGTGACCTCTGGATATACTCAGTATGATCCTTGTTTGCAACATCTCACAGGAATTATTCAAACATTTACAAGAGGGAGGAGTAGGCCTTTCCCTTCACATAATTTTAGCTTCAAACAAGTTTGGCCTAAGCAACCATAGCAGAAGAACTGTGATATAACAAAACATAATGATGTCTTAAAAATGTTTTCAAAGTACAGCCACTCTGCTGACCTGTGCATTTTGGTTGTGGCTCTTCCTCCTACAGGTAGCAAACAGATCAGGCTGGTGAATGGAACAAAGCGCTGCGCTGGGAGAGTAGAGGTTTATCATGATGGCATCTGGGGCACCATCTGTGATGATAACTGGGATCTATCAGATGCTAATGTTGTTTGCAAACAGCTTGGATGTGGACATGCCATCGAGGCATTTGTCTCTGCTCATTATGGCAAAGGTTCAGGACAGATCTGGCTGGATGACGTGAATTGCACTGGGGCTGAATCTGATCTCTGGGCATGTCCCTCTAGGGCGTGGGGCCAGCACAATTGCCAACACAAAGAGGATGCTGGAGTCCTGTGCTCAGGTGTGTTTGGAAAACCTTTTTCTGAGCTTGTGGGTTCAAACAGGAGGGTTACATGAAAGGGAAGCAGTGAATAGTGGAGACTTGCTTGGACAGCCTCTTGCTGTCCTGATTACAAGCCTAGTTGGTCAGCATATCCTCTTGGTCCTACCAAGATGCAAAATGTTGCATTAACACACACACACACACACACGGAATGTGTGTGGTGTTTGTAAAGATTTCTACAGCAAGGGGCTGTGTGTCCTTTACAGTCAGTTGCAGCTGGCTCTGAAACCAATGAAAACAACCCACTGTGCACCAAAGCATCAGAAAATTGAAGTAGATTATGGTGGCTCTGCTCATGCATATTTAAGACAGAGTGGCAGTTGCAAGAGAGAGGAAAAATGAAATAGAAGTGGAAAAAGACACTGATGGGGACACAGCTGGAGACATGGTTTCCATACCAGAGGAGGTATGTCTCTGAGAGGGCTGTGGCCTGTGGATAAGTCACACCGGAACAGGTACACTCCTGAAAGGACTGCAGACTGTGGAGGACCCACACAGGTCCAGGTGCAACTCCTGAAGGGACTGCAGCCTGTCAGGGCCCCTGATGGAGCTGGTACAAACTCTGAAGGGACTGGAGCCTGTGGAGCATCCATGCTCTGCAATACAGGTAGAACCAATACAGGTAGTTAGCACTGTAAAAAAAATGGTTATATACACAGGCAGAAAAAAAATCCCCACATCATAAGAAGTTTGTGGCACTGAGCATCTCAAGAGATGAGAGACACTGTTGGCACTCTGAATCAGAGCCACAAAGGAACAGAAAATAACTACTACCCTCTAAAGCAAGAAGTCCTAGCTGCATATGCAGAGGGTGTCTGAGTGCCACTGAAGTGAGTGCAGACAGATCATTTAAGTTGTGCCCTAGACTAGTTGTTCTGAATTTTAGGTTCAAGGATTCAATACCACTTAGAGAAGAGCAACCACAAATACATAGCAAAAATGCCTACTGGCCCTTTGCCAATCAGCACATATTGATCCAAGCTCTGGATCAGGATTAGCTGAATTTACTAACTCCGTGGCCAGCAATCAATAGTATGAGGAAGACCAAATGTCTTTTACTATCAAAGCCTAAGCATATAGCAATACATATCTGGATTTCACTCATCACAGCCAAGTTCCTAGCAGAATCAGGCTCTCTAATTCCACTTCTATGTCTTCACTTCCAGATTTCTTGGCTCTGAGGCTGGTGAATGGCAATGACTGTGCTGGGCGTCTAGAAGTTTTCTACAATGGGACATGGGGGAGCATTTGTTCCAATCGTATGACTCAACTCACTGCAGTAACTGTATGCAAACACCTGGACTGCGGAGATGGAGGGGAAATTGCAGAAGATTTCGAATACGGCAGAGGTTCTGGGCCAACATGGCTGGACCACATTGAGTGTACTGAGCAACATAGTTCTCTCTGGCAATGTCAGTCAGACCCCTGGGATCCTCAGTCATGTGATAACCGAGCAGAAGAGACCCACGTTACTTGCACTGGTAATCAGAAATGCATTGTATAGGATTGCCGAGACATTAACCTATGCACACATATAGAGACATTGCAGTAATTACCTAATTACCTTTGCTTATTATATGGTACATAATATACATTATTTCTAGTTTCATGCAAATGGTAGAAACATTTTTGTCTACATCCTTGAGGTAAATGAGCAAATTAAAATTACATGACTGTTACAGAGTGCAGTTACCCAATGGAAATCCTAAGGAATTTTCTAATAGGACAGTGTCATTGCATAATTTTTAAGCAAAAATCTATGATATAGAGTCAGTCTGCAAGATCTGAGTTAGGATCAGACTTCCCAAGATGTCCAGAGGCAGATATGTGTTTCTACATGTATGGAGGCATATCAGTGCATATGTATGTACATGCACACATGTACATGCTCATAGCCATGGACAAGTGTAAAAATCAGTTTGGCTCTAAAGATACACTTCTAATGCCTGCTCTTGTGACAGTATTTCATACCCCTGGGTATGAATATCTATATTCATATATATTCACTATAATATAAATGACTTCTAGATGACATTTGGATATCCTGAAAGGGATTGTAGGTGCCTCATGTGAGAAGAAAGCATAGCCAACAGGAAGATTATTTTACTTACAGCAATAGCCAAACAGCAATCTGTTAAGAACTAAGCAAGCTCCACATATGTATCAGGAAAAAAAATAACTTGATGGTTAATTTTCAGGCAATTTACACTCCCTTATTTTTTTTCCGAAAATAATAAAATTATTTACTTCACTATTTAAATTCTGCAGGAAGAAAAGAGGCAACTTCTCCAGCCACATTTGCTAAGTGTCCAAATTCTACAAGTTGTTCAGGTACCTTGGCCTCTTTGTTTTTCCTTATTGGTCTCTCTGAACCTTCCTGCTCTTTCAGTAAAACAGAAGGTTTCTGTGTTTTGCAGACAGGGAGAAGTTACGAGTCATAGGAGGAGATGATGAATGTTCAGGCAGAGTCGAGATTTGGCACCAAGGTTCCTGGGGAACAATCTGTGATGACACCTGGGACGTGGCAGATGCTAACGTTGTATGCAGGCAGCTGGGATGTGGATCTGCTGTCTCTGCTCTGAGTGAAGCTGCCTTTGGGGAAGGGACTGGCCCCATCTGGCTGGAGGAGGTGCACTGTAAAGGAACAGAGCTGTCTCTCTGGGACTGTCCTGCCAAGTCTTCGCTTGGCAAAAACTGTGATCATAAGGAAGATGCTGCTGTGAATTGCTCTGGTTAGTGACTGGCCCTTTATTATACAGATCTTGGAAGAAGGTAGATAGAGGAGCATTACATCAGATGTACTTCCCAGTGACTAGCCCTTTCATAATTTTGACTGCAGGAACTCACAAATGATATGAAGATGTTCTCCCTGTTTTTCACACTTGCCTCTTCCTTAATGTGGACTCACTTTCCTTTTGCAGGTATGACAGAAACAACAGCACCACCCACTAGAGCAGGTAAATTCCTTCTTCCTTCTCCTCCCTTTCTTTTTCGCATCAAATGACAATTTATTGTCCCTGATATTGCCTAGTAGCTAAATCAGCAGTTTATTTCAGCTCACCAGAAAGCATCTCCTGCAGCCTTTTGTAAAGGAAAACTGTGTGGCACTATCCCCAGCTGCCGAATTTTATCTGCTTGAGCAGGACCCATGACTGGGCAGCAGGTGACCTGCCTCACCCTGCTAGCATGGGCACAGGAGGGGCTATAGAGAGGAACAGCTCTCCGGGACATCTGATTACCTTCCTGTTTCTTTTTCATTTCCATTCAGATCCGCCCCGCCGCCCTGCAACAGACAACACGAGACTTTCGATGCCTGTCATCTTCTGCATTATCCTGGGGACCCTTCTTTGCCTGGTCCTTGCCATTCTTGCTAGACAGATCCAACGTGCCAGGGCACAGCAGAGAGGTGGGTCCCTCAGGACTGGTATGAAATGCCTCCTTGACATGGTTGGCAAGTGTTTAGTTGGCTGGGGAGGCTGAGGGGGTGGGTGACTGTGATGAACTGCATCTGTTGCCACACCAAGATTTTCACTCACTTTCTGGCAGTGAAATAGCCAGGCAGTGCTTAACCTCAGTCAGCACATCTTGGTGACTTTCTAGGTACCTGCTTGGCCATGCAGCCCCTTTAGGGAATTTGTCCTTTTCAAGAACCCAACCTGAGTATGAGCAGAGACCGTGTTAGTGATCATTACCTTTTACTTTCAGATTCCAGACTATCCTATGACCCCTTCTCTGAGGCTGTCTATGAAGAGATTGATTATAACCTGATGAGGGAAAAGCAGGTCGTGACTTACCTCTCAGGTTTGTACATCTTGCTCTTCTCAAGAGAAAGCTCTTTTTGGTGGCCCTGATCCCAGTCTGATACTTTGTAGCTCCCAAATCTACTGGAAAACTAAAAATTCCTAGATTTGAGGAGTTTCCTGCCCAGTGGACTCTGCTAATTCCTCTCCTAAGGACAACTTGTTTTGTGCAGCCATAGACCATAGATCAGTATAGGTCAAACAAAACAAACAGACAAACAAACAAACAAATAAAAGCCTCTTGCTGCAATTATTTAAAGCAGGTACAAATAAAGGAATTATTTGCCTCTCTCTGCCAGCAACTGTGCCCCTGTAGGCTTCCTCCTGAGAATTGCTTCTCTCCCTTTGTGGCTTGTCTCCCCCACGAGCCATGAGAGGTGTTATGGAGCCCCTGAGGGATTCTTGGTTATTCTACTGTAAACCTTGCAGGAGTAATGCTGACTGCCAAAGAATCTTTGGATGGTATTCCTCTAGCCTGCTCTTTTTCTCATGATGCAGTCTTAGCAGTTAAGGAGAGTTTAATCTAATACCACATTCTTTCTCATTTGCCTAGATTCTTATTCAGAGAGTTCAAAAACAAAGGTACAGTTTTATAGAGGGGACAATGATGAAGAAAGTGGTCCTGGAGCAACTCAAGGTAATGAAAGATGAGGATTGTACAAAGAAAGAGACCCTAGATCAGGGTAGCTTTTATTATCAAAAGCATTATTAATGATTAAAACCTTTTCATTGCTGCACTTCATGTGCTAGGGTTGTTTTGATGTGAACTAAAATTTTCTTCTCAACTCTCGTGGTGGAAGAATGTCATACAACCTCGTATACAAGTGCTAGTTTTCTCTTCTGTATGAGAAGTTTGAAATAAATGTTCACTGGTAGTATTGCACACTCCACAGTATCCAGTCACATAAATCCAACAGTTTGACAACTGCTTCTCCCAGAAATTTCAACTGTAACAGATTGTAAACTATTGCTTCATTTCTGAGAAAAATGGGAAGAATTAAGACAGAGGAAAGATATGTTTCAAATAAGAACACTGCCATACAATTTGAGTCGATTAGGAAATTTTAACCCAAAAGATCTGAAGAAAATGCGGATTCCCAGTTGGGGGGGGGGGGGGGTGTTTTGGTTTGGTTTGTTTTCTTAAATTGGAATTAGCTGAAGGAGAGCAAGTGTTTGAAGAAGAACTGAAATTTCCTAGAACTGATCCTTTAGCTGCTACCTGGTCTCCAAGAGATCAACTGCAAAAGGCACAAGCAGTTCTGGACCTCAGTTGCCTATATATCAGACTCTGCTGCACCATGTCCTTAATTTTATTTCCTATTGCTTTTTTAATATATTTTTTTTAGTTAAAAATAAACTAAAAGCCTTTCCTTGTTTTGAAAAGCTTATAAAGAAGATAATTATTCCAAATAAGATTTCTTTTTCTTATTCAGATTGAGTATTGATTACTACATAAAAAGTAAAACAGGATTGCCTTGATTTATTTTTGTGTTTATACACATATTAAGGATATGTATATACCATAACACTGTGAAAACTAACATTCTCTGAGGGATGGATTCCAGTTAAGTACAGACATGTCAGTATTAAAGCCCTATATTGCTGGATCATCAGCTACTGCTTTCTCTAGTGGAAGAACTCTCCCTGTTACAACTAATACCTTTACTGTTCCAGAGATCTCTCCACTGCCTGAAAATGCCCTGGAAAATGGTTATGATGATGTGACAGAAGCTCCTGGACCTAAAGATGCTTCTCTTTACGGGCAGAATGAACAGGAAATCATTGGGCCTGAAGAAAGTGACAGAAACAAGGATTCACAGACAGGTGAGGCTTGAGGCTAGAAGAGCAATGCTGTCAGTTTTCACCATCCATAATTACTGTAATAAACTCAATGATAATCAAGGTGGAAGGTACCTCAAGGGATTAGTTAGGTTTTATCTAACCACTATAAGGAAGAATTGCTTTTATTAGAAGTGTTTAAAGTCAGAACAGTAACCTGTTTTCTGGAAACAGCAAGCTTTATCTTTGGATATGTATGCACGTTATCAGAAGGCAGAATGACATAAGCATTTCTCAGATCCTCTACAGTCGCTCATATCTAAGGTTCTGATTTCTAAAGGAGACAAATGACAGCTGCGCAACCTATAAAGGTAAGGCAGAGTGTGCATTTATCTATCTCAGTGTTCTTCCCTTCATGTTTTCAGACTGGAGTCATAGTATGTCCCAAAACAGGACCCCTGAGGCTGAGAGACCTTCATCCCCTGCTTTTGAAGATACAGGCTATGATGACATTGAAGAGCTGGGATGCTGATAGAGACTGCTGAGCTGGACTGACCACTTTTGGAAATCTACCTTTGTTCATAAAATGCTAATCCCACTACTAGCAGAACCAGAACAACCTACATTTAAGATTAGTTTACATAAGTTTGGGTTATTTGTAGAGAAGTGATTACATACTTACAAGATAAACAAACATGACTTTTAAGAAAATCTTTCAAATTTCCCTTATAATTTCTTGTTGCCAAGACTGCCTGGACACTTTCTGTTTTTATTTCTAAATATTGTAGTTGCAATTATTTTTTGACTGAGGTCATCTGTTAAATTATGATATTTTCTTATTAGAAACTGTTCAAAGATCTTTTCTTAAATTTATGCTTTTCCTCCAAGATACATGGGACATCTTTCTGGGGATTATTATGAATGGAGAATGAACTGCAAGAAAATAATCAAAATTCTGTTTCATCCAAGTCTTTGAAAAAGGTATGCTTGTGGATTGCTTGTGCAACAGCATCAACAAGGCCTGACAGGCATGCTGTGAGACATGGAAGGAGAGAAACACATATACCCCTGTGATTTAACAGCATCATGCTATCTACTTTTCCTGACTCACTAACAGAAAAACTGGGAAAGTAGAAATAGAGAGTGTTTGCAAGGAACAGGAAAAGGCAGCAGAAACTGACAGGGGCAACCAATTCTATGCCAGAAAAAGGTGTAGCAGACATTTTATCGCTGTCAAAACTCTCTACACAGGACAGAACTTCTCCTCTCTGGTGGCACCAGGCAGTGACCACGAAGAAGGAGTCCCTGGAGCCTCAGAGATGGCAACACCTGATGTCATCGGCATGATCCAGTTAAGCTGAGTATTCCCCAAGTGACTGGGGTATATAATCGTCACTGGGATGACCGGACTGATATTGGGAATGTGCTCACAGTGTTAAAATCTGTAGCCAAACTCTTAGAGCATTACGGCAGCACCTCAATGGGACCTGCACATGGCCATTTTTAGGATAATTGGAGTAATTGTATTGAAAGTAAATTAACAGAACACAAGATTAATGAAAGATGTAAAGTGGCTTAAGTGTGGGATCTATCAGGCAAAATTCTTATTTGGGGGGATGAAAACATGCACACAGAATTATATAGAAGTAACAGATGACTTCAAGTTATTAAATCAGAAACAATCATTCATTGAGGCTAAAGAGCAGGATGAAAACCAAGAGAATGGGGCTGACACTAAGCTCATTACAAATCCATCTTTTAAGTTTTTGAAAAAATCAGGTAGAAAAGGAAATTGTGTTGTTTGTGAATTACAGGTTGCACTGCTTGTTGCAGGCTGTGTTAGTGTCCTGTGCGTATGTACCTATGAATCTCTCTGCTTTCAGGCTTTCTGCTGGCTGAACTGGTGCACAGGAAAGCAGCAGTCACATCCGTAGGCTCCAGTGGCCAGCAAAAAGGAAACCCCAGACCTCAGAGGATGTCTAAGGCAGTGACTTATAGCATCTGTTAAATTCACACCACAGTGTTTTTGACCCCTTGAGAAAAATGCAAGGCAGCATTTTCCTTTGGAAAGGCCCTACTAATTCTTCCCATTAGATTATTCTTTTTTGTTTTGTTTTAATTGAGTCGTTCATGAATTCCTTTTTCACAGTGTGTCTACCAATATGTCTGGTAAAGACTTCACATTGGTGTTTCCCAGCTCTCTCCCAAATCCTTCCTTAACGATTTGTTTCACTGCCCTGTACTCGCGTGTTAAGAAAAGATTTCAGGGACAGGTCACAAACTACTGTCGGTAGTTCACATTTTTCAGCCTTGAGTTAAAGTTACTCTTAGTTCAGAAAGCTGCTTTGTTGAAAATTAAGATTACAGCCAGATGAATAATTAGGAACACGCTTAGGGCTAGGAAGAGCTCCTGCTCAGGGGAGGGGACTGTGGCACGGGACAGGATGCAGGGGAAAGGATTTTGGCATTGCAGAGAACTTCTTGTGGGATGGTTAGGGGAGGGACCAGAGGCGGGAAAAGGGAAGGGTTTAGGTGAAGGTAGGAGGAACAAATATGGGAAAATCGAGGGCAGGGGGACAAAAGGGCCAGTAGCACGTAAAACGTCTGCTGATCCGGCCGGGAAGCCATGCTCCTGGGAAAACATGCTGCACTGCTCCGCTGAGTCGGCTCCGGGTTCCCTCCTCGGGGACCTCCTCTCCCCCGGCTTCGCCATGGAGGACACAGCCTCCCTCCCCGCCCCCCGCTCCCACCCCTCCTCTTCCTCCCCGGCCGGGATTCACAGCAGAGAAGGCGAAGCCACCACGAAGGGCAGCGGCTCACGGAAGGACAGGGAGGAGCCTGAGAGGTGGGAGGGCAGGGATTGCGGAAGGGCCGCCCCTCTCCCTGCCCGGGGCGGTGCTGCTGCTGCTGCTGCTGGTGCTGGGGGAGCGCCCTCGGGAGCGGCGGAACGAGACGGGGTCAGGATGGGCCGGACGGTCGTGGAGCTGTTTTACGATGTGATCTCCCCTTACTCCTGGCTGGGGTTTGAGGTGAGGGGGCGGCAGAAGGAGGGGGGCCCTGCCCGGGGAGCCTCGGGTCTCTGCGGCCGCTGGTGCCGGCCGGTCCGGGAGGTCGCTCCCGTCGCCGCCTCCCTTTCCGAAGGGCCGCTCAAGGTCACCTCCTCCGGCCGGCTGCAGGCTGTGCCCTTCCCGCTTCGTAGTTAGTTTTTCTCGCACCTGTGAGGGGTGTCTGGGTTTCTTCCTCGCGTGTTGAAATCCAGAGACGCCAAGGAAGCGTGTCCCATCCAAACAGCAGCATGGCCTGTGCCTGTGCGGGAGTTACTCCTGAACATTTTGCTTCAGAGATAGTTTTGATGTTTAACAGGTGCGAGCATCCACTCATGAGCTTGATCGTTCCCTTATTTATTCCTGCTTAGACTTTTACAGTCATGATACGAATGTGGTCCTCTCAGTTTTTCTGAGATCAGTACTCTCTGGCAGCATCCAGAAAAGGTTTTAAGGCTATCACTGATACAGCAGAAGAGGATTTATCTGCAGTGTCTGTTTACTGCCTTACCTGCACACAGCTCTATAGACACCTCTGACTGTTAATCCATCACTATTCTCTTATGTTGTAGGTTCTCTGCCGGTACCAGCACATCTGGAATATTGACCTGCGCTTTCGTCCAGCGTTCCTTGGTGGCATAATGCAACAAACTGGTAGGCAACATGAAGAGATTAGTTCTGTAGGGAAGCACCTTCTTCACTAGTAGGGCACTAGTGGGCAAGCTCTTGGTGAGTCCAGAGTCCACAGAGCCAGCTTTAAACTAATTTTTGGCCCCAGTATCAAATTAACCGTAGGATTGTGGAGGTTGGTAGTGATTGAGAAATCACAAGAATTTCATGCTGTTGTAACTACACAGCCACATAGACTTTGGCAGTCTGTGCCAAAGTTCATCAGTTCTAAAATACCATAATAATTTGATATGGAGTGTTTTCCTTAAAGTTTTTGTTGAGTTGAAACCAGAATTAATTTGTGGAACTCTTGCACTCTGTAATATGCAGGAAGGATCCAAGTATGTCCTAAAACAGTACTCATGGCCTTATTAGAACAAATTGATCACTGAGATTTACAAATCATGAAATTAACAAGTCTCTACATTGGTTTACCTGTGCATGTCTGTCTCAAGAGTCATCTGTCTGAAACAACATAAATCCCTGCTAGGACATTTGTACCTTGGTTTAAAGCTGATTCTGCCATCTTAAAGGGTTGGTCTGTGCAAAACCAAAATAAATCAAGTTTAAATCCTAGCATTTTCTTTGGATAAGCTGAGTATGTTTCAGTAAGCCAATATGAAATTATACTCTTCCTTAGGCACATATACACATGAAGTCTAATTTATCCAGTGTTGGTTTGTCCAGTATTATAATACAGTTGGAAATCTCAACAGGACTTTTCCCTTAAAGGTAACAAGCCACCAGCAATGCTACCAAAGCGTGCCGAATACCTGCTGAAGGATATGAAAAGGATGGCAAAATACTACCAAGTGCCTATAAAAATTTCCGGAGATGACTTCCAACGTATCTTTCGTACAAGTAAGAAAGAGACTTAGCTTAGCTGGTATTTCTCATCTCTAACACTTCTGGTTCGAGTTCTCCCTAACAGTAAAGGTGAAAATTAATTCCCTGTCCGCAGCCTTTTTCTGTATCTATGAGCAATATGAAGCCTGTGCATTTTTAACCATAAAACAAATTTCTGGAGAAATATGGCTGTGAATGATATTATTCACATAATATCATTGGGAGATAACTGTGAATCACCATAAGCTACTATAAATCAACATAGGCTATACTATTACAGACTGGGGATTTATCAGGCCTGTTACAGAGGAGATCATATTGTTCTTAGGTAGCACTCATGCAGACCATCTCTGTTCCTGAACCTGTGCCTTGTTTCAGTATGTTTCTCTGTCTTCACACTAATCCCAGGCAGTCTTGCGGCCATGCGCTTTATCACAGCCATCGATATGACAAAAGCAGAATACTTGGAACCCTTATCTAGGGAGTTCTGGATACGTTTCTGGTCACAGGTCAGTATTTTATGAAGCCAACTTTTTGGTGCTTTCTGTTACCCTTCCTGTCCCACATCATTCAAATGCAGAATTCGAGCAAGAGAAAGGGAATGTCTTTTAATGAAGAGTCATAGGAGGAACTTAAGGTCATAGTAGTTCAGGAGCCACTGTGAAAAGAACTAGTTTATGGTCAGTTTAATTTACTTCTTTTAGGTATATATGGTGAGTCCTACAGGCTGCATGGATCAGTGGTTCCTATCAGAAAAAACTTCCTAGATTAGGTGACTTAATACCTGTCCTAAGGAAATTTCTCCAGTAACTAGTATATTGGTTTTATTTCTATTTTCTTAGAAAACTTGCTTTCAAGTCCAGAGCTGAGCTTTTGTTCTTAAGTACTGATTTTCTTATTTTATTCTTTTACCAGCATGAAGATATCAGTCAGCCAGAGAATATACTTTCTGTAAGTGTCTCTTTTTTTTGGTGCGTCTGCATTTCTGATAGATTCTTATTGATGACTTGGATCAGTAATTGTCGTGGTTTTGCCCACCAGCCCATCCCTGGGGCTGAGGATGGTTTTGTCCAGGTAATTTCCGGACAAAAAGGCCAATCAAAAGTCCAGTAACGCCTTTGCTAATTACATCTTCAAGAAAACGGAAGAGAAGGTTGTTGGCGCAGTTGGAATTAGTAGCAGCAGCTATGTAGGGGAGAGGAGTAGCGGGCCCGAGCAGGGCCAGACTCCCTCCTCCCCCGGCTTAAGCCGGGGTGGGGGGAGCAGGTGTAGCACTGAAGTCCTCCCTTCTCTCTTGTAAGAGAGTGAAGAGAAAAAAGTTTAAAAGACGAACTGCTTGAACAGAAACTGATGTGGAAGAATTCCAGCCAAAAGAAAACGGAGCTTCCAAGGTCGAAGCTGGCAGCTGAAACTGCAGCAAGAAAAGTAAAGTGCGAAAGGGGGGAGACTTGTTTCCCCCCTGCCTTTTTGCTCTCTCTCTTCAGCAGGGAAAAGACTGAAAAGTAATCCCTACTACTTGTAAAAGTTTATTGGAGTAAAGAGACCCCCCATGCAGTTGATAGAGAAGTCTGTGGATGTACCAAAGAGAACCAAGACTTCATAAGAAAGACTGAAGTGAAGCAGAGTCCTGGTGAAGATTTGTGACCCTGAGGGAAACCTATGCTGGAGCAGTAACGACTCAGGTGAAATATTGAGATCCGTGTGTGTGTGGATCTATACTGCTGTTGAAGATTTTGTGACCCTGAGAAATCTCATGCTGGAGCGAGACGGCCCATGTGAGATGTTGGAATCCGTGCGTGTGTGGATTCGTGCCAGACCCATGCCGAGAAGTCTATCGAGGACTGTTCTCCCATGGGGAGGGACCTCCATAGGGAAACAGGGGTGAACTCTTAAACCATTATCCCCTGTAACCCTGTGGAAGAAGATCCATAGTAAGCAAGTGTCCCCTTGCAAGCCTATAGGAGGAAGACCCTTCAGGACCTGAGTAACTCTCAGCCTTTGGTCTTAGCCCAGGAGGGGGGTAAGCCCAGCCCTGGAAGCCAACACAGAGCGAGAAGGAGAGAGAAGAAGTTCCAACTGCAATGAAAGTGCTGCTGCTGCTGAAGATCTACTACTAGAAGGAGAGAACTGGAACTCCAAAGATACAGAATGAGACTACTTCTTCTCCTTGGACTAGTATAAAAAGGGAAGAAGTATTTCTGTGTATATATATAACATTTCAACTTGAGTAGAAATTGTTATAGATATAGTTCTTTAGTTTTTAATTTATTAGTAGTTTTTTGTTTTACTAGTAATAAATGTGTATACTATTTACCCCAAATCCTGTCTCTCTTTTGTCTGCAAATACCTTCTCTCAACTAGTAATAATTGTGTGAGAAGTGGAAAGCAAATTAACCCAAAGCAAAACCACGACAGTAATAAACATGAAGACAACTTAATCAAATGAACACTTGGAGTTTTGAAAAAATTTCAGGTAGAAAAAAAAGGATTTAATTTGCCTAGCAGCTCTGTTTGGAATGTATTGTTTTTTTTTCGTTGTCATGCTTAACATTCAGAACCAGAGTCTCCTTCTTTTTTGTTAATTCATGTGGCAAGATACCCAGGATGGGTGATTAGTTATCTATTAATACTGCTTTATTAACAGTCTTGAAAGTACAAACCATTTCTCCAGAATGCATTGAGGTATTGCTGCTATATGAAATATTCAGGTAAAATGCAACACTTTGGGGAGGCTGACCTTCCATGGAGTGATGGAGCCAGGCTGTTAAGCTCAGTGCTGTACTGCCCTTTTGTATGCTTAGAAATTATACTCTTGATGTATTTTCTGTTGATGTTTAGGTTTTGTTTATTACAGTAAAGCTGTCATGGCATGTAAGTTGATATACCGGGAGATCCTCTTCAAGGGCTCTCCATTCTACATTATTTTATAAATTCTTGGAATACGAAGAAAAGAGAGGAATTGTCCACAACTGGTCTCTCCAACGTCCCTAATTGAAATTTGAAACCTGCAGCCTTGCTTTCCCCAAGTCTAGTCCTTGCACTTCAGCTTCCTCTTAGTGTACCTTTTCTACCAGAATTACAGCAAAGGTTTGCTTTTTCCCTTTTCAAGAGGCAAGACTGAAAGATATAATTAAACCGTGGTGTGCTAACCCTGGTAGGCAGCAAAGCACCACGCAGACACTCACTTGTTTCTTCCCACTGCCCAGAAGGACAGGGGAATGGGTAAAAAAGAATAAAAGCAAGAAAACTTGTAGGTTGAGATAAAACTGCTTAATAAGCAAAAGAGAAGTCAAAGAAGAGTGAAAGAAAACAAAGCAAAGGCCATCACTCACCACCTCCTACAGGTAGACTGATGCCCAGCCAGTTACCAAGTGAAAGGAGGTTAACTTCCTTAAACTCCCTTCTCACTAATTATTGCTGAGCCTGTTACATGGCATGGTATATCTCTTCGGGTAGTTCAGGCCATCTGCCTTGTGTTATCTTCCAACATGTTGTGAACCCCCAATTTATTCACAGTGGGGGCAGAGTGAGAAACAGAAAATGCCTTGACACTGTACAAACACCATAGCTAAACCAATTAGTGTGTTATCAGCATTGTTTTGGTCACAAATCTGAAGCAAAACCGTAGGAGCTGCTGTGAAGAAATGATTGTATTATCAGTGTTACCCGATAAACATTAGACCTTTAACTTTGGCTACTTTATCTCCTTCCTGTGTGGCAGAGGCACAGAGGAGGTGAAAAAGATACAGCAGAAACACCAGTAACTGTTTAACCTCTGTGAGTTACAGTGTCTTTCATGAAGTCACTTACATATCCCATGTGGCCACATTTGCCATAAAAACTGTTTCTGTCTTGATAGGCTTGTACAGTAAGATTATATTTTTCATAAAACCAGTTTGGAGGTTTTGTAATTTATTTATGAGTTATTGTATTACAGTCTCAGCTTAGGGTTTTTTTCCCTTTTATGTTTAGGAACTCCTGAAAAAAATGTGCAGATTTTGGAAGTTTAAAATGTCTCTTCTACTTTGTGTCTGAGAATTGTTAAATGATGAATGGGTTGGGCATACATCAAGACAGTTATGCAAGAAGTGCTTCAAGAGCATTTTGAAATTTTTTTTGCAATAGACCTTGGGTGACAGTACTGGGGATTAAATTAATTAGACCATAGTAGGAATTAGAGTATTTACTAATAGGGTACTCCTAATTATCCCATCTTTTCTCAGGTTGCCCGGCAGGCTGGGCTATCATCAGAGCTCTCCCAGAAGGCACTTGAAATGATTTCATCCCCTACAGTGAAGGACCGACTGAGAGAGACAACAGATGAGGCATTGAAATATGGGGTGAGATGCTTCCTATGCCATTGGGCTTCACAGCTATGCATTCCTTCCCTATTATGAATATGGGGAAGCAAGGAACAATGAAGGTGATGATTAGAAAGCACTATACAGACCATCTCTGTTGGGTGCTCTTTGCTTTTTGAATGTGTGAAAGCTAACTCACTGTTGTTGGTAGTTTATCTGTCATGTGGGACAACCAGGTTGACCCATTCAGCTCATTCCAGCTGGACAGCAAGGAGGAGATCAGTACTATGAGATACCACTTATCACTACTTGAAATAGAACTGTGGATTTATCAGGCTGCTTTTTTTGTTCCTTCAAAAGGGGCATACAAGCTCTGGAGAGTCACCTATTTTCTGATAGCTTCATTAGATTTTATGAATGAAGAAGGTGAAAAGAAGGGGAGGAAAAAAAAGTCAAGAGTTACTGGGGTTTATTCCTGAATACTGATGATGTATCTGCAAAAAATTCTCTCATTATAACATTCTCTGTTTCATCTCCATGGTGTTAATAGGCATTTGGGATGCCTGCTGTTGTGGCACATCATAATGGGGAACCTCATCTCTTTTTTGGCTCCGATCGTTTAGAGCTGCTAGGCAGCTTTATAGGTGAGTCTACCTAGTAACATCACTTCTCGTTTCATGCTTTCACCCTCTTTTACTGAAAATGCAGCTGAATAAAACGCTCTTAAGGTCTTTCAAATATTAACTAATGTTGGGTACCTTTCTCCTGGAATGAAACTGCTGACTGAAATCTATCTCAGTACAGTTAGAGAGTGGCCAAACATATAGTCCTTTTCCAGACAAGAAGTAACTTGAGTTCTCCATCCTCTCTTGGTATATTTCAAGACTTTTTGCTCCACATGCCATTCTCAAATTACAACTGAAACTCTTTAGTTTTAAAAATATTCATATTTAACCTTTTGGTACTGGACATTAGGTCTTGGCTAAGCTTAAGACTAATTAAGACTGTGGCTGATGCTGCTTTCTTTTTTTTTTTTTTTTTTTTTTTTTTTTTTTTTTTTTTTTTTTTTTTTTTTTTGTAGTTTTAGCATTTTCATTTTCTATCTTCTTAATAAAAAGCACATTATTACAGCTCCCCAATCCATAACTTGTGCCTACCTACACAAATTTGTAACAGACATTCATATATTGAACATTCTTTTCTACATTTTTTTACGTTTTTCTACAACAGAATGCACTCTTTAAATTTTTGAAGAGATTGAAATAGGCTGGGATAAAAAAACTCAAGTCACTGGTTTTAATGGATTAGAGAGCATTTAACTGTTCATCTCAAGATTTGGCACTTGAGAGGGTATGTCACTAGAAGGAGTTATGCACATAACCAGCTCTCACACATTTACTGAAAAAATTCAGCAGAAAATACTAGTGTAAATGAATATTAGTCATAGGCTTAAAGAGAAGGAAATTTTTTTTTTTTTGTCTTCTTGAAGGGTTTCTGATTCAATAAAAGGAGAGTGAGGAAAATGAGTACCCAACACCCACTAAGTAGTCACTAATCCTGATTAGAATGTTGTGGCCTGGTTTCTAGTCTCAACTCCAAGGACTTACCCACATGTTCTTTTTGTTTCTCTGACTCCACAGCCTTCCAGCCCTTTTTGCTTTCTTAGTCCCCAGCCCCACAAAAGGAGTCCTAAAAAGAATGGGTTTGACCCTCATATGCAATACGCCAGACCCAACAGATCTCTCATGTCTAACAGAGGAAAAATTCTTCTGTACAGCTTCAGCTATTCCTAGACAGTGAAGGATTTCTGCAGCTGTCTGAAGCACTCCAACCCGCATATAAATCTGCATTCCATCTCAGTAGTTACACTTCAAAAGAGTAGGAACAATCATCCTGCTGCAGAAATATGACTGCACAATTACTCCCGTGTATTAAATTCTAATTGTCTCTTTGTGCTGGTTTGTCTTGCAGGTGAAAAATGGCTGGGACCTGCTCCAAGCGCCAAGCTGTGAAAAGTCACGGGGAAGTATACAAGAAGGAAAATACATATATACACACAGTCAGTCTTCAGTGATTGTCTGAATGTATCCAATTTTATGGAGAGATGGCTTTCTGAGCCATAAGAGTTAATTTTACAGCTTGATCTCATCTCTAATTAGGAATAATTTCAATGTTTGCCAGAATCACGGTTTGGTGAGGTCTTTGCTAATATAAATGCACTTCCTTTTTTTCAACAACTAACACGAAAAATTAAACATTAAATATTTAACTTCTTTCAGGTCAAACATTCTTCTTTTCTAGTTAGTCCTCTTTTCATTTACCCTAAAAACATGAGGGTTAAATTGTAATGAGACTGTGATCTCTGGAGTTCTTATGTCTTCCTGCTTGTCCTTTGTAAACACACACACACACAAAACCTAAGAGAAGCTGGCCATATTTTTCTTTTATTTTAAATCCAGTATACTACATAGGCACTAGAAGCATTAGAAGAAAAAGAATAAGGTATTCATGCTTCCTTTTTATTTTGCAGCGTGGCAACTGGAGGGAACACAATTCAAGCCCAAAGAAAAGTCTAGGGAACCAATCAAGTATTTCAAAAGGAACTGTCCCCATCCCGAACAGTATTTTGTACACCTTGCTCTGCAGTGACTGACATTTGAGGAAACCACCATACCCACATGCATTCTTGGGCACCAATCCCAGACTGTGCAGGGGTTTTTAGTTAATTTAAGTTTTACAGTAATGTCTTCGCAGGACAGTGTTGATCACCATGTAAGTTTAGCTGGTAACTGAACCAGACTGTATTTTACTTCCTCAAGGACACCCTAATTACTGCCTATCCAAAGGTGATTTGCATACGGCTATGAGGGACTCCCCATCACGTAGTCTGCAGAGGGAAAGGTGGGCAAACAATAAAACTAAGAAATTTCCCATGGAAACAGTTTGATTCTGGCCCTATATTGGCTGAATTGGAATAACACATTGAAACTGATTTGTCTGAAGCTTGATTTCTCAATGATCCCAGGCTGTCTCTGATGCGTCACTGTATGAAGCAGAAGAACTAGCAGCAGCTGGAATTCTGGTTTTTGTCTTTTTCTGAACTTTAAGGTAAAGCATGTTCACACTTGTTCACTTGAACAGCAAATCCTGGAACAAAGCATCAGGAAAAAAAACCTGTATCTTTTATGTTCTTACAGCTGTAAGTGTTGTGGGAGCATCATGTTCCCCCATCCACAATTTTGCCTTCTTACACCTCTTTCAATTCTTCAGGAAATACCCTATAATTTAAGAACTCGTTCCTCCTTCCTACTAGTGCACCCATTAGTCTTTGGGCAGATCCAGCCTAGAACTTAAGGAAATAAGATACAAGATACAAGAGGAGTTAGAATGACATGTTCGTGGGTACCATAGGCTTCTTTGAGTCCCCTGAAGCCATGTTAAAGAAATTTTTTACCACTTCTCTCCTGAAATTTGCTTGTCTCCAATCTGTGCTATCAAACTGATTCTGAGGTGGTGATAAAATGGAATGACTAAAACATCACTTTAAGCCAGTAGTGCTGTCTTAAAGTGGGTAAAATGCCCTTTTGTGGAAGTAATGAACTGGTGAGAATTCAAGGAACATCTGGATATAATCTCAAGCTAAAAGCCAGGGTCTCATGAAACTTTGAACCAGACTGATTGAAAAATAACCAGCCTTTGTGGCAGAATGTTGTTGATTTAGCAGATGTACCAAATGAGACGGATCTTACAGGCTGCAATATATTTCACAAAACTATCTTAAAGGCCCTTAGACCTACTTCAAATCAGTGGAAACTAAATGCTCAAAACCTTAGGTACTAAAATAATACTTAAAACACTACTAAGGAAAATGCAAACTCAGGATTTTCCTTCCATTGCTTAGTGCCTTTAATAACCACCAGTAAATGCAAAACCACAGCCTTTGCATTTATACCAGTGAGTCTGCAAACTGTTGCAATTCTGACTGTTTACATACTTTGAGCAAAATTTGCCTGTTTGGGAGCAGAACTCTGATGGAGTTCTGCCTCTTGTTCAGACAACCTTGGTCCAGGGTTACAGAGTGTAAGCAGGGTAAACACGCCAGTGAGTACTTCAGTAAACACTGGCTGGCAGCTACCCTGTCATGCTCAGTACTTATTTTGTTGTAGCATGCATTGCAGTAGTCTCAGTGATGAGTAACAGCTTCTTTACCTGGCTTCCCTTTCTGCTCTCTTGTGGTGGCATCAGTTGCCACCACCACAGGAAGTGGTGGTGACTGACTTTGAATGGTGACTGCTTACCTGACTGCTCTGAATGCCACAAGGTGGCAGGGTAGCTAAAAGCTGAGCATTGAAAAAACACTGAGGATCTAAACATCAATAAGAACTACCAGCTGTTCAGGAACATTTAGGAATAGCTGGAAGAATTTTCTTCTATAAAGATGATACCCCTTTTACTTTGCTTTATACCAGACTGGTTCCTGACAGCCTCACATCCACACCACTTTCAAGGCAGCATGTTGTTTAGCTGTCAGGCCAGAGAAGATACTGAGCAAGGAAAGGAATATCGAGTGAAAAGAGACATTTAGCAACACAAGCAAAACTGAACTATGAATTGTAGGGAACAAACCTGAAGGTGTGTTCCCCCACCTTTGCTATATTATAGATCTCTCTAGGAGATCAGGTCACACTTCCCATGTCTGGAAAAGCTGAAACTGGCGTGGACAAGTAGGTCCCAGCCATGCTAGGCTAAAACAAACAAGCCCTTAGTGCCATGATATAGTAATTGGAGTTGGATCAGGGGTTGGACTTGATGATCTTGGAGGTCTTTTCCAACCCAATCTATTCTATGATTCTATGATTCTATAAGCAAGTGAACAGGAAGGCACAACATCACAAAATGAGCAAAAGAAAGGGGTTCTGTAGAGTAATGAAACTATAAGTAGCCATGGATAGGCACAGAGAAAGCTAGATTGCATCTGAGCAAAGGAAACTGAATAATCAAAGAAATAGAAGAGAAGAAAATGGTGCCTAGATTAGGGCAGAGAGCAGTGTCTCCATGGGAAATGATGTTCCCTGAGAGGGAGGAGGCAACCAAGGGAGAGCTAGGTACATTAGGCAGGCGAGGGTCCGCTGGCCATGGAAGATCATTGGGGGAAGAAGGTATAGGATTAACTCTGTTTACTGTGGAGCTGCACAGTAATTGCTATACTGTTTAAGTGAGGCCAGGGATGGCCCAGGGCCTGCCTCCATCCTGAGCCAAGGGCTACAGTGCTCCTCCACGTCCATTACCTGTGCTCCTCACTTAGTGTGCACCGAGACAGTCCTCCAGCGGTGACATCACACACAGCACAAAATGGAGGCCTGCAGAACAAGGCAGTTCTTTAACCTCCCTCTGCAAGCATCTTCACACAGCCCTTTCAACCCTCAGCAAGCAAAGCCTCCTAAATAAAGTTTCTCTCTTTTCTCCCACCTTTATCTCTGTGCAAGTGAGAAGGAAACATTTTATTAAAGCACTTACTGGATTATGGTGCTGAGCATCTGCTTTGCTGCCTTTTCCTTTTCCAGTGGAGCCAGCAACGCTGCTGGAAGGAAGCAACCTGCTTCCTAGAAGGGAACCAAGCACAGAACAATAAAGAAATAATCAAGAGGGTATCCCAGGAGCTGCACATATAGCTGGTTTTACCCCAATCATTTCACAGATCCGTGACTCATCCACAGGTAAGAGTGAAAGGAATGTACCTATGCCCAACTAGACTAATGTTACTTTGACCTATTTCTCATTCTAGCTTGAAACATGAGGGAAGTGACTATTTTAATTTCATTCACTCATTCATTCATTCATTCATTCATTCATTCAAAAAAAAAAAAAATCATTGGCCAGACTGTTTCAATGCCACAGCTCTTTGGCTTCTTGCCTAAAGAAGCTACACCTATAGCTATCAAATGAGTGATAAAGGCATTCTCCAACCTTCACAAAGGTTTTCATCGATCTGTTTTTAATTTCTGTACCAGTCTAATGTTACACACAAAAGATAGTTTAAAATACAGCTGCTTCCAGTAAGTGCCAATTCATGCAGTCAAGCTAAGAAATGCCATTACTGAATACATCTGTGCAACCTGAATGCCTTGTCTCTAAAAATATAACACTAGAAGTGTTACGGAGAGTTATAGCTGAATTTATGCTGCCCTTGAGGCTAGGAGGAAAGTCACCTCTGCCTCATGTGATATGCACTGGCATATGAGACATGTTGGTACTTTAAAGCCAAATCAGAAAATATTTTGGCAATGGCAGCTCTCTACGTCTTTATCTGGGAGCATGATTACAGACTGCTGACACCTCTTTTTCCTTTTCTGTAACATTTTCCTCTTAATCTGGAAGGCAATTTGGAGAACCCAAGAATGTGTACATGGGTTAGGAATTCTGGAATCATTCAGTGTAAGACCTAGACTTACAGTGGGCATGTCTTATGTTTCTCTGTAAAAAAACCCAATCAATTCAGTCTGATTTTACACAGTGCATTAACTGTGGCTGAATAGTTATTGTATAGCTCAGTAAAGGGCAAAACTAAAACACCAGGATGCCTCTCTGTGTCCCAAGGGGCTTTCTTTGCTTTCAGTTTAGTTTAACTCTGGCATTTCTTCAGTTTATTATGTTCAGTTATGGATAATTACAGTTCTTCGTAAATTACCAATATTCATTTAAATGTCATTTTGTCTAGGATATTAACATGTATTGCCACACTTGATCTTGTGGTAATTAGTCTTCTGTTGGGACTGAATGTAGTAAATAAATAGAAAATTTTTAGTATTAGCAAAAATCAAAATAAATGTATCGTCCCTATGATTTTCCTTCCTTTTTTTTTTAGCACAACAAATTGGTCTTAATCCTATCTTTTTCTAGCTCAAGAACTATCAAAATTTCTGGAAATAAATTTTCAAATTCCTAAGGGCAGGATTTCGCCTTGGGCTTAGAGAATGCAGGCTTGACTGTGCTACCTCATGTACCTCACACACGCATGTAACTACATCTCTGCAGTCTCCTGATTAGATGAGTTGATTTCAACTGATCAGAAAAGTATCCATAATGTTTTATCCCTTTTAACAATGGCTGCCTTAGCATAAATCAGAAGCCCACATACAAACCTGCAGCTTTGTTGGTGTATCTGTATATAGGTTTGGGTTTTTTATACGCATGCACTGAAGATGTAAGAAAAGATACCATCCAGCAAAAAATCACCACTCCTGCAGGGTGCAGCTGTCTGACCATGCCAAGGTACCGAGAAACCACAGTGAAGTTTTGCAGTGTGAGTAGCAGATCATTGCCACTGACAATGGAGTGTGTAAAACCTAAAAATTGCGTTGAACTTTATATTGCATTCTCTGCAATGATTATTCTTGGTGATGCATGATTTATATAGTTGTGGGACAATAAGGAGTCAGCAGATAGGGAAAACTATCTTGGGAAGAGCAGCAGAAGCCACTTTAGAAGCATCCATCTTTCTCACACCTGCCTGTTCTCAGTGTTGTGCCACAAAAGCAATAAGAGTGAATTTGTGAGCGGAGCTGTAGCCCGCTCAGGATAATCCCAGAAATACGTGGAAATGGTAACCTGGACAATGTCATAGTGATGCAAGTGAAAACCCTCTGTGAGGCACAAAGCAACTATTGCCTTTATGGTGTCATTTCCAGATCCCTTCCAAAAGAGACAGTTTCATGGTGTTGGGCCTCCTGGCCTTACAGTATTTTTTTATCACTCTTGCTCTGAGCTGATGACACTGAACTCCTTCTTCCAAGCTTTCAGAAGAAGGACCTATTGAAGCTCATTCCTCCCTTCTGCTTCGTAGCAGCAGCTCATTAGTTGTCTTCTATCGTGAAGGTCCCTGACATGCTCATTTTTTGTATTATCTCATTTAACACCTTTATGTCTTTCCTTCAGAACAAGCAACATTTGTATATGGCACCCCAAATCCTAATTGTGGCATATGGCATGGCTCTCCTCTTCCTCTGCATGATCAATAAGTCCACTTGTTTTTCCTTTCTCCCAGAGTTTCAACACCCGTGCCTTGGATTCTTTTGTGTCTCTAAGTGTACAAGCACTCATGCTGTGAGTTGTTCTGCGAAGTGGAGAAATCTTACAAACATCTCATAGAACTGAGGTCTCTGCAGAACCTCTGACAGTATCACATCCTCAATGCTGTTGCTAAGATACAGACTATTTTAGGCAGGGATCTGATGGCCACTATTGATATCTCATACAGGGTGGCTGCAGAGACTGAGGCCAAACTCTATCGTCAAAGTAAATTGGCTCCACTTTCTGACGCTTGTTATCTTTATTAATGATCCCTTTTCACACAATCCCTATAAAGATTTCACTGTCCCTTCCAACCAACTCTCTCACTTGCCCTACACATAATCCCTAGTATCTCCTACCATCTCAGCATGTTCCTCTTCCAGTCTTTTGGCAACAATTGTTAAGTTTTGCCTTTCACAGCTTCTAATGACTTCCCAAACTCCAAAGCTTAGTCTTCTCAATCATACTTTCCCAAAATCTTACACAATCCTCCCAGCCTCTTTCTCAGAAACAGGCTGAAACTAATTTAAATTTTCCCTAATTTTAGCTTTAGGCTGATTCTCAGCATGAAATGCTTTAGTCCAAACCAGTTGATTTTAACAAAGCAAAACAACAACTGCAAACAGGGTCTGTGTTCAGTGCATGTGATACAACCTCAGCAGCAGGTAATGCAATAGTTCTCCCTGCTATGGGACTGAAAAAAAGACTATAATCATCTCTCTGCACTGTGAATGGGTCCAAGCTGACTTTAATCAACTACTTCAGTTTTAATCAAGTAAGATCGATTAAAGAGCCCAGCCAAAAAAAGCTCAGTGCAGGTTAGCTACCCAATTACCCCTGTTCTGAGAAGCACACTGCTTTGTTCAGGATACACCGTTCCTATAATTCCCATATCCAAACTGTCTAGTTTATTAAGAGGTATTGGCACTGATTCAGAAAAGCAACCATAGCTCTCCACAGAAACACATTCATTGCAGTCTACAGTAACTCCTTCTGCAGTATGTACAGCACTGTTTATTCACACTACTGAAACATTCTCTCCCCATTACAGTTTGCACGCCAGTATCTCTCCCCATTTCTCTATCACCTACCTATGCTTCTCAAATCTTAAGTACAGCATACAAAGGAGGTGGCTCAACCTCCCATATGCTTCTAGAAGCATAAGTAGAGGATTTTTTCTTTTTATTCTTTCTTTTTTTACCTGGTGAGCTAGAAGTACTGGGTGTGCAGTCACTGTCATCCAGCCACATATTCTGAACCATTGAATCCTGTTTTGGAGGGCCCTCAAGAGAGCACGTCAGCTCCTGGAGAGGGCAAAGAAGACGTGTTTTAATAATGCACTTGGTAAAATCAGGCAGGGTAGCCTCTGTTTGTTAGAGATCATACACCCACCCTGTCATTCTCCTCTTCCTCAGATGCTCCATTTTCCCTTAATCCACTACAACAACTGCTTACACTGGATGAAGAACGTGAGAGTGGCTGCATCACACAGTATCCTGAAGTCTGACTCCTGAGCATTCTGTGAAATGCAAGCATTCAACATCATCATGCTTCTTGTTACACATAGGCTTAATTTTTTGTGGCGTAACTTTATTATACAGCAATCAGAAACAGTAAGAAGAAATGATTCATCCACAGCTAGTTTTTCCACCTAGGAACAGAACACAGGTGAACTGGCTTGCATACCTTAATTTCTAGTTGCTACATCATTTAGTAGAAACATCACTTCTTTCTCTCCATGCTGGATAACTGTATGAAAGGACATATCTAACTGAATTTTTAAGTCACAGACTTCAGTGTAGTAAAGCGGAGTGAGTCAAACCACCTGCATTTAAGTACCAAATACATCTAGACATTCATTAAAATCAACAGATGCCTTATTTTGGAGACATTCATTAAAATCAACAGATGCCTTATTTTGGAGATCAGAGATTTAGAAGCCTAAATACGATATGAAGAGATCTTAAACTGAGTGTAAAGGGCAGGCAAGACCCAGTCTAGGCCACCCATTCCCACAGCCACTATCAGGCTATCATATTGGGTCTTACGTGAAATTCCAGACAGAACAAAGGGACCATAAAAAGCCCAGTTTTCATGCCATAGAGCTTATAAATTGTTACTGCTGATTTTCTGGACAGGTGTAGCACAAGGAGGCAGGAAAGCATACAGACATAAATCAGTATTATAGAACAGTTAACTAAGAAAGTTTAACATAGCAATGAGGAAGTAGAAAGAAATTACTGAGATCTGCGTTATTGCAGGCTTTCTCAGTGTCAAACTATTTAGGATCAAGTGCCAGGCTCTTGCACAGACATGTCAGAACCTTCCTCCTGCTTACAAACAGGAACACACCTAGGTCAGATTCCCATCCTGGTGATTTTCCATGTGCCAAGTTGCCCATAGATTGGCTCCTTTAGGTCCATCCCACTAAACTTTTAGCTCTCACAGGGTCATTCAACAGGGACATTCAAACCAAACTGTATTGGATCACTTTACCACTACTTTCTCAAATGACACAGACCCTGTGGCAGCCCAGTTCATATTTCGTATCTATCAAGACAGACCTTAAGGTCAGCTCTTTGCAGTTAAGAATTTATGATCCACCACTTACAGTCATCTAGGAGATATAGCAGTCCATGAGGCCAACATGCTTACATGGTAGAAGGTGCACTGTGCATGTAAGCATAAAATTTATGGGGAAATATCACTGTTTGCATAAGGCTAGCCAGTAAGGGAGAGATGAGTGCTTAAAAATGTTAAGAAATATAAAAAAAGCTAAGAGAGGCAAGAAAGATAAGACACTTTTAACATACTAAATATATTTATTCCTTCAGAAACACTGCAAAATGTGGCCAATCTTGACCTACAAGCAGTAATGAAACCTAAAGTCCCAGGCATATTCCATGCCAGCATGCAACAGGGAGAACAGTAAAGATAGGGCCAATATAGGCCAAAGATATTTCCTCTAATTTAGGAAACATATTTTGGAGGAAATGAAGGCCAACATGCTTCTCCCTCAGCAGAGCAAACAATAACATGAATTTAAGTGAATTGAGATCTAGATTTCCACAAAGTATCTGCTTCTCAGCATCTTTCCTCAGCAGGTTTCTCCATCCTCGTTCTGTTCTCTGCACTGCATTTCCTGACCTATGTAATTCAAAGGCACTAGAGGCAGAGGTGGAAACATGTTCCTCTGCTCTTGCCTTCTGCAGGCCAAGCTATTCTTACTCATCTGAAAGGAGGGGAGGGGAAAAAAGGGGTCGCACTCAAGGTGGCCTCCGTTCCCCATCATTAGCAGAGGCTGGTTCAGTGGCTGCTGATTGGGCAATGGGAAGAGCATAAAGCCAAAATGCTCCTACAGGAGCTATCTGTCCATATCTCTCTCCCAGAATTCCTGCTCCAGGAACTGCCAGTGGAGCGTTACTTGGTGCCACTTGGTCTCTCCACAGTCCTTGAGGTCCTCTAAGTACGTTCATGCTCCTCTTAGCCAGGACTCTCATTTCACCCCAAAAGTCTTGCCAGTATCTTCAGTGAGGTAACCAATGACTGAGTAGCATCCGGTCCACTCCTGATTGGCTTGATGTCCCCACTCAGATGTGTCTGAGGAGGGAAAACACACATACAAAAAACCCATGTACTTTTCCTAGGATATGGACATATACAGTACAGTGCTTGATTTTTCAGATGCAACCCAGAAAGCTGTCTGTTCCTGAGGAGTTCTGCTACTTGGTTACATAGGCTGGGTTAATTCTTTTGAGTCTGTCCCTCGGGAAGAAGGATTATTTGGAAGGCTACCTGGACAGAAGAGCAGAAAAACTAAGGACACTTGTCCCTGCATGTGAGAGAGAAGACACCATTAGCTCAAGTGAACAATGCAGTTTCATGGATTGCAGGCTGATCACTGCAGAAGGATGTGTTGAAAACAACATGCAAGGAGAGAAAGTAAGTGCCGCTTTGTCTCTACTGTAAATTAATTAATCTATAACTTATGCGTTCCATTGGCATTTATTTCCAGGCTGGTTTTAGTAGAACACAGATAAAGAGGTTGATCATTCAAGTCTTGAATCTGAAATGATTACTTAAGACCAGCAGCAGCATGCTGGACATTTCTGCAATAAGAGAAATTTCCTGTGACTCTGTGGAGAGAACCTGGAGAGGACTGACGACATACTACAAGGGATAACCCATTTATGGTATATTATCTAATAGGGACTACATAAATTATTCTGGAACCATTCAGAACTCTTTCTGCATTAGAGGTATGCCTGTATCATGAATCCTGATTTGTGGTTCCACAATTAATGAAAAACAGATAGGCTATTTCAGCAGAAGATCAGTAAACGGCCTCCAAGACAGACTGTTAGAATTTACACTCCCAACCTTTTCCTGCAATACTGTGCTAATACTGTCTTGCTGAAAATGGTGTGCTTTACATGGTGGAATAACATGTTCTTAATCCCCTGTCCCAGATATCATGCAGAAAGTATCACTGTACACAGGCTAGTCCATAACTCTGAGATCACAACTCGAACTCTGGCTAATCACTAATTGTGCAAAACTCCATGCTACATCCCACCTCATAAACAAACTCTCCAGGAATGGGCTAAACCACCACAATTATGATCCTAAGTGGTTTTGAGTCCATGACTGGAAAAAAATGCATAGAGAGAATCCTGAGGACAGAACTAGACAGACTGCCAAATTATACATGTCATGCCTCATATGCATAAGCAATATTCATGCAAGTACTGTTAGTGAAATCCCATGCTATGTTTGCTCTCCAAAAGCACGTGGATACCAACTTGAAACAGCCATTGCAGCTGGCTCACCTCCTCAGCTGATGGAGAATGGGGGTTGGGAAGTGGGGGAAGCCCACAGTCATATGCAGAAGTCAGGAAAGAAAGCTTCATACTTTTTTTTCTGGGACATGCACACATTCTACAGTCAGGTAACCAGGACTAGCCAAGCTATGAGATCTTTTCTAAATAGAAGTCTTGCTTATTATGCAATGTAATCAGCTATCTAATCAAAGCAAGACTCCCTCACACATGCCTAGTCAGGAACTTCTAATTCACTAACAAGGTCCCAGGAAGGATCAGGAAAGGGAGACGGAATGATATGGTAATGCTAGAAGATGGTAGTTGCTGACCAATCAGCAGTTCCATGTCCTGCATTCTCTCTTGTCCTTGGCTGTCAGAGCTAGCATCTTAAATGGTCTGTATCTCCTAGATGTGCTCACATCCTCCTCCACATCAAAATTCTGGACATTCATCCAACCCAAAACCAAAACTAGCACATACACAAAAACATACTTACCATAACTCTGCACCTTGGCTGTGACAAAATTCTGGGCAGTACTACAGCATACAATTGGGTAGCTGAACTACTGCAGATAGTCAGCAGCCTGTAATTCTTAAGAGAGCACTGGGTCTAGTTGGAAGGTAGGTTCTTCCTTGTCAGATATGGCACCTGGAGCAACTACAGCCACAGAGCCCTGGTTCTAGGGCACCTCCTGAAATTTTCTTAGAGTAGACACAGTCCCAAGAAAGTGACATGCCCTAACACAAAACACGCTGTCCCTTTTTTGCCACAGGTCTCATCCAAGTTCTCATGAAAAAAATTAGGTGTGGCAAGAAAGTGTGTTCCAGAAAGTCAGCTGCAGCCTTGGATTTAGAGACAGGCTGCTCTGGAGTCTTGGAAATGGAAATGGGTGCTTTGCCTGATGTATTCTAGATAGGATCACACACCAATATAAAATAGCTTAGCAGCAAAGCTCCACTACAAGGAAATCGCCTTTTTCCAGTTTTTGGCAACCAGAAACTGGAAAACCATTTTGCAGACTACTGCATGAAGTGTTTTGCAGGAGAAATCTGGGTGTGGTATGGCGTGCTTTAGCAATGAAACATAGGTGCAACACATGGGACCGTGCTGTAACACCTGCTGTAACACTTTGGGAGGCCTGAAGACAGGTTAGTTCACGCTGGTTGGGAGCAGCGGCATGGATCCTGCTTAAAGGGGCAGAACTTGAGGACAACCCAACATACCCTTGTCCAAGCTTCTCCATGAAGCTCCAAAATCACTCCAGAGCAAACTATAGAAGAAACATATACATGAGTAAACACGGATAACTGAACAGCTAAGACTGTGTATCCTGTTAGATGCAAGCTAACATTAGTAAAGATATAGCAAACATCACCTTTAAGTAGTCCAATCTTTCTTCACTGGCTGCTTCAGAAAGCTGAGTCCATGACAGGCTCTGAGATACTGTACCACAGCCAGACATCTAACTTTTAAGATGCTACAATGCCTGATGTGGACAATCTCAGCAAAGCCTCCAACAGAACCAGACATGCACCACACGTAAGCCAATAGCAGAGACAGTGAGCATCTTTCAAATACTGAAATGATTTTCAACTCACTTGCTCTTCCTGCTGGGGAACTCTGGGGAGCTGGGACTGGATGATCCATCAGACTTCAAGTCAAAGAATGTTCCTGGACTGTCCAGCACCCTCTGTATCCTCTCTGCAGTGTCTCTGCTTGGAGAAACGAGAAACAAGCTATACCCAGAGCCAGAGTTAACTGCTATCTATTCTAACAGTCCTTTATAAGCCACAATACAAAGCTGGATCTCTCATATACATGCGAAATGGAAGCAAACACAGTTATATTTAAAAGGGCAAATTCCTCAGATGTCACATCTGACATATTTGAAATGGCCAATTTTAAGCTCCTTTTGAGTTGATTTAAAAGCTTACATTAATTTCAGTATTCACCTTAAATTCTTTAACTTTTTCTTCTATCCTCCCCCTTTCCTTAGGATTTAATAGAGAGTGTAAATATGATGATTACTATAGTATTATTGCTACTAGCTAGTACTTGTCAAGATCCTTCTGAAGAAAGTTGTGTGAGTAACTGAGAGATATGTTTAATTAAGTAAAGGAAAACTAAGGGTGTTGTTTTTGGGGAGGGGGGTGGAGCTGGAGGGCTTCAGTGATGGGAGTTCACAGAGCTCTTCCCTTGCTCTCCTGGTCAGTTGATCCTACCTGCACCCTTCAAATCACAGCTCCTCATGCCCTCACTTGTGCTAATACAATTGTTTGTGAGACCGGAAATTACCTTGACAAAAATTCTAAAATTAAAATAACCCTGAAATTTCTGCGACACATCAACAAGTGGGATGGACTGGGTCATCTCTGTCATCAAAGCCTGCATATCATTAAATTACAGCTTCAGGTGAAGTTACACATTGAGCTCACTGTTGCCAGAGAGAGAGCATGCTCCGCCCTCCTTCACCCTTGCTGAGTGCACTTCCCATCAGTCCTGCTACCCATCAAAGTTCTCCACCAGCCACTTCATGGCAGACAATTATCAAGGAAAGCAAGTGATACTTTTTCTCTAAGATTAGTGGCCTGAACCAGTTCCATGAAAGATTCACTGAGCATCTGAACCATCACAAGGAACAGTCAGAACTGGGTAGCTGAAAGAGACACTGGGAGAGGGGAGGTATCACTTCTGCTTTTCAATAACAATGAACTGTTACAACGGAGAAGCTGCTAGTGAAACTGCACCTTCAAGAATGATCCAAAAGGTCTTTCACAAAAATACAAGCTAAGGCTCCCTATTCCTCATATCTAAGTTTACTAATAAGTTTGCAAAAAGAAAGCTAAATAAGCCAAACAGCTTACCAATTTCTCCTAGCAAAGAGCAGGGGGAAAATAATGAAGAAGATAAATCCAGGCATTTTCTTTATGATAGAAAGGTTTTACAGATTCTTCAAGGGCATAGAAAAGCTTGTACACAAAGTAATGGATTGAAGGATACGGCTGGCTAAGGTACAAAAGTAATTAAAATAGTGAGAAGCTGTGGCTAACTGTGTTAGCTTAGACTGGGCAACAGGGCGGTTGTCTCAGAAGATTTAATTTTTCTCCAAGTAGGTTCTATATTATTTTTATTCAGATTAGGTCATATGTACTTCATTAAGAAAGAAGGGAAAATGTAGTGATTTCCTCCTGTCATAAAATCACTGGTTTCCACATTAAAGATGACTTTTTCCCTTCTACACTGAGTCTTTAACCTGCTTCCTGGAATTCTTGCAACTGGGAAAACTGCATATTACATGCAGAGCACTCATGCGACTTTTGAGACTGTATAATCTTAAAAAGGTGTCTCAGCTAGAGCTGAGATAAATCTATGATTTATCTAAATAATCTCTGGTGAACAGTAAACAACTTTTGAATAGTTAGAATTCTGTCAAATATGCTAAATCACTCCTTGAACCTGTATTTTTTCCATTAGTTATAATTATTTCTCAGATGATCTAACTTAAACACTAGTCTTTTTGACTTAAGGCTTTAAAAAAAAAATCCTTTAAGATACAAGAAGTTTTGCCTCTTTGAACATTTTAAAATGGAAGCAATCACTCAATCAAGCATCCCTCTCCCAAGTACTAGCCTGTCATCTGACTCTTATCTAAAAGTGGTGAATAGAGTAGAGGAGACTCAAGAGTCCTGGATCATACTGTACAATATTTAGGAGTGATCTTTCAATATTCCTCCACCCATTTCCTCCATTCCTCCTCAAATACTGATTCTCCCCACTTCCAAATGTCCTTTTTTAATTTTGTCTGTTTCTGTCATTTGTTCATTTCTCCATTAGCTGACAGGTTTTTCTTCCAACCATTTCCATTTCAGTTCTCATTCCTGTCAATTCCCCTTCTGTCTTTATTATGTGCCTTTTCACGTTCCTTTTCTTATCTCCTCTTGTTTCTGTACCCTCTTTGTCTCATCTTCCCACAGCTCATACCTCTTTTCCTCCTGTATGTTCTCAATGCCAATGGCACTACTCCGTCGCCCATGGAAGCGGCTGGCTCGAGTGCGTGATGGGCTCCTACCAGGCAAGGCAAAAGACTAGAAAAAAGGAAAGCATGACAGAATGGAAGGAGGGGAATAAGACAGGAAAAACTGTGGAGAACTGGAAGCACAGGAGAAGAGTTTGCGACATGGATCCAGATCCTCTCCTTTACTGTGCAATACAATAGCATGGCCCAGCTCCACTTCTGCAAGAAGGAGTGTCTTTCTGTCAGAAAGAGCAGCCAGGGCTTACAAACATGGTGTGAGAAAGGGACAGAGAGATAAAGAAGCAGAGGCAGAACACAGCCAGTACACAGACAAAAGAGCTCTGGAAGGGAGGTATCCCCTTATAATGAGAGGAGAGGCAGAATCAGAAAGGTAAAGAAATCAAGAAGGTGTGGAGGAGGCAGCAAACCCAAGTCATTAGTAGGCTGGGACTTCATTGTGTTGACACAGAGAATGCATACAACCGAGTAAACTGTCACCAAGAATTCTTCCCACTGAATGGCACCTTCTTGGCTTACTTGGAGATGCCTTTGTTGTAGTTTGCCTGTATTGACACCACTAGTGCAGAGACCACAACTGGCCAGATGCACTTTGGTCAAGGTAACCATACTTTCATATTGGAAACATGGATCCTTTTCCGGAAAGATTTGCCATAGATTTATTATGCTCACACTGATCATGTATGTTTAGTATCCCTATCAAACAAGAAAGGCCTTGATAGTAACTAGAAATATTCATTCTTTTTCTCACCCCAAACTTTATGAATTCTGCTGTTTCTTCCCAACATGCAAATTCTACTTACAGCAAAACACCACCTTGAATATGTATTGTGCACCTGTTTATATTACAGAAAATAATCTGTTTGGTTAAATTGAAAAAAGTGAAACAGTTCTAATGTCCTTATGTTCTCAGCTCTTGCCATATGACAATACAGTACCATTCTGGTCAAACCACGCTGCATGATTTTTTTAACATATGGCAATGTAAAGGTTATCCAGGATAGCAGAGATAGATGTCAAAAGTAGAACCACGTTTGACTTTCTTCTCCCAGTCTGCATCAATCTCAGCACTAGTTTACATGTGAACTGAGTCTAAAGGATAGGCACAGACAAAACAGACTGCAACACATGCTTTCACCACTTGTGAAATGGGATGATACAACAAAAAGATTCACAGTGGGACAAGAAGACAAACTAACGGGGAAAGAGAAATAAAATATACGGGTGGTTACAAAGGTATGCCGGGTTTCCTTCTTACAGCCCACCCGAATACCTTACCGCAGCAATGGCCTTAGGGCCCTCGGCGACACTCTGGCTGAGGGCAAGGCCAGCTGTAGCTGGGCGGCTGGGCAGGGTGGCTGGCTGCTGCTTTCTCATGGATATCCCCATGGTATCCAGGCTCTGGCTGCGGCCTCTGATCACCCGCTGAACAGGAGGGAGGCAGGGAAACAGACAAACACAGATATACACATATAGACATGCACACGGTAGGGTAGTATGAGAAGCATCACAGATTGAGTGGAAAGTTGTGACAGACTGACACCAGAACCACACATACCCTAATTCCTAGAAGGCAGCATCTTAGATACTGCCCATTTTTAGTCCTAGATGACGCATAGAGTTCTGAGAAGAGCCAGGGAAGAACTCTTCCTCAAGTATATTCTCTACTTTCATTCCTTGTCCTATTGCAGTAATTTGAGATTCCCTACCAGTATCCTAGCATACTGTTTAAGATAGCATCAACTGGAGCAGTCCTATCCAGTACAGGCTAAAAAACACAAAATCCAGCTCCTGCTCAAGACTGTTAAGGTTCAGTCTTGTACAAACTTGAATGCTGGTTTCAAGGGGAAAGCAGACATACCAAAATCTGCAGCATTTGAAAAAGCCATTTTCTGAGTTTACTCAGCCTTTCCCATTACAAAGGTCACCTGTATACATGACATGCAAACCACAGTATCTGCTAGAAGTCAGAAAAAGGACATTTTAGGATAACTAGAGTAAGACATGGATGGGTATGAAATTCATGGTTAGTGGCAAAGGCAGGGTAGACTGATTGTATGTAAAAATGCACCTCAAAAAAGCATCCCAGATCTGACCAAAGATAAGCACATAGCTAAAGAAACTGTACCTGAACAGATTCATTTTAAAGCCCTTAGTAATTTTAACCAGCCTACCACACAAAGAAGGTGGAGGCCATCTGAAGAAATGGTATTCCTAACACTTCTTTCCAGACGAAAATTATATCAGATTCTCTCTATATAATCAGTTCAAAACTCAGTTTGCCCATTCATACGAAAACTGTCACCTAGTGCTGACTTATTAAAAAAACAAAACAAAACAAAACCATGCCATTTACACTGAACAAAGGTAAAATAACTCTGGCTTTTAGAGATTAGGTTTTTCTAGACAGCACACTCAGAAACAGGTTAGAAACTCTCTTGCAGTGGCTCTTGCAATTCTTCCAATTATAATGAAAATTAATTGGAGGAGATCTGCTGTACGAACCAAAAGCCCCTTGCTACTAGTTATTACAATTCCACTTGCAAACACTGATTCCTTTTCCGGCAAGTCACAGAATAAAACTCCATCTGACACTAGACACTAGCACGAAGCATAAAGAGTTTGACTTCTACGGGCCAGTATGGAATTCTGCACCACACTATAGCTCTGTAGGAAGGCTCACCTTGAAATTTTCCAGGAAGCCTCCACTGCCGTTCTCTATCTTGTCATCCTCCCCTGTGGGTAATCCCATCATACTGCGGCTGCGAAGCTGCAGCTCCTCAAAAAGGCTCTCCAAGAGGGCACTCCGTGTTCTTTCCTGCGTCAACATTAAGAATGAGAACATCTTTTAATGGGAGTGGAGGATTTTTTTCCTGTTTTTTCAAAGTCTCACATCCTTCTTAAATAAAAACAACCAACCAAATAAAAAATCCCCAAAACAGCAACAATGAGAGCAACAAAACTCCATGAAAATTACTTTAAACAGTATGAAGTGTTTTAACTGCATAGTTACAGTTTACAGTTTTACTACACAACTATTATTGCAGTAAGACCCAGCCCTTTTAAACTGTTTATAAAGCAAGTCATAAAGGACAGTTTTTTTACAGCTCATGAAACACAGGCATGTGTTTTCTAGATCAGGCAAACAGCAGAGTCTGGAAAAGAATTGTGGTACCTCGAACCATAAATCAGTGATATCAGTATGCATCCTGTAGCATAATACTGAGTTTCAGCTAATACAGAATTTCCTCCAGCAAACGTGTCACATTCCCATTTTTACTTGAGGATTAGATCTTTACATTAGAATGCACCTGTTCATATTCTATCACGCCTGCTATGAAATACGAAGGAATCATCCCGGAGCTGAAGATTTCATCTTCCTTTCTTAAGCAACACAAAATTGGAAGTTAAAAATTTTAATGTATTGTCTTAATCTGACAATAGTCTCTTTATAACTACATATAATTATAATTTTTAATGGAAGCAACCAGATAATAGACCCACCTCTAATTTAGCAAATTTCTCAGCTCGATAGCAGCTGTACTCAGCATTGATGAGCTTGACCAGAAGGAATTCACGGAACTCTGCACTCTACAAGATAAGATGAAGACTAGATTAAACTGGACATGAAAACAATAATAAAAATATCACATGACAAAAGCTCTGCTTATTACTCTTTGAACCTCCAAAGTCATCTAGCCAGACCGACAATATTGACTCACAACACAAGTGTGTGTACCACATCCTCCTGCCATCTAACACTGGAACAGAGAAACAAACCTTCTTAAATATGGCTGGATTTGGCAGAGGGGGTCCAAAGAAGGGGACATCATCTCGGGCCGTGACTGAAACCTGAAATAAAAAGGGAGAAAAAAATAAGTATCGCAACACAAGTGAAACTATCAAAGCTTTCAAACTACTATGATAGACCTGCTCCCTTCTGAATAATTTACATACCCAAAAGAGATCTAATATAGCAGCCTGTGCATCCCTCTGTTTCTGAACTCAGTGGATGGATGTGCTGATTTATCTCCCAGAAATGCAGCTGGATGTGCACACAGCAAGAGCAACAAAATACTGAAACGACTGCTTTTTAAAAAAATACTTTTAATAATAACGAGTATAACCAGCATATTTACCAAAAAAAAAAGCTTCTGTTCAGGCTGCAAGATTTACCTTCACTAGAATAACTTTGGTCAATGTGGTTGTACTGACCTATCTGTGGCAGAGATACACTGCACACTGAGGGGAGCATTTAGTGCCATTGCCTCTCTGAGTCATAGGGGATAAACATGCAAAATCATTTTCCCAGTAAAAGATAAGGAAATGCATGAGTTTTATTTGTTTTATTTTTAACATGCTCCCACCTGACATACCAGTGTCAAAAAAAGTAACTGTAATGCAGGCCAGCTTTTACATAGTCACTTGTATCCCAACAGCACTTACCTATAATTACATGCAGCTATCTTACCAGATACATACAGCACTTCACAGTATTTCAGAGTTATTTTTTTTGTCATATTTGAGATGGAATAATGCCATTATTTGCTATTTCATTTAAGAGGGAACAATGTCATAACAACTGCAACTGCCTCAAAATAACAACAAATAAATGTCACAGAGCCAATGAGAGGTGTGAGTTTACTGAAAGGAAGAAGAAAATGAGCTCTTGATTTAATTCAGATTTCATACACTGCAGGCCAGCTCCCCTAATTACAAAGCCTTCATCTCCATCCTAATAGATATCTACCACTTAAAATCCTACTTTGCATTTTTCATTTTCTATTGCAAAAATTGATTCTGTGAAATAAATGCCATTAATATTCCAATTTAACAGTAGGCACTAGAGCTTATGTAAGTGGAACAAGGGATAGGAAAGAAATCTTCCAAACTGCAGCCTTTCTGTACTACAATGCTCTCAAGGCAACATAAGCTAAAACCACTTTGGAAAAGCCTTTACAGAAAACCCTGCACTGGCTCTAAGGTGCTGACTGGGACTATTTCTTCTTCATGAAATGAAGCAGCCCTATTACACTAACAAAAAAATGGCACTGCAGATAGGCAAAGATGAAAACAACAAAAGGAAGGGACAAGACAAACAGCAAGCTTCCCAAGCTCTTTCTCTTGTCATGAAAAAATCCAGTGAACTTTTGTGCCCTACTATACAGAGAGCAAGAGAAGTGGAATCCCATGCCCCTGATCAGCACGAGGCTTTCATTTGTAGCTATAAAATGGCTGCCCAAAGCATAGAGAACAATGGAAGATGGTTGCTCCACCTCCAACACCCTCCTTGGTGGAAGAGCAGATGGAGATCCTGTCCCAATTTTGATATTCTCAGTGTTCCTGTAGACCTCTCAAGGCATAAGGACTCATCATCACCCTATCAAAATCCCTACATAATACAAGACATAGCACATGGAAAATCCATCACAAATGCAAGTTTCTTTATATTTTCTGCTCTTTAAGCATGACTGAAAGTTGAACATAAAGCTATATAGACATCCATACAGAGTCATGTCAGAGAGGGAGAAAGAGCTGTGTCCAAAGGCTGCAGATATGGAACATGAGCTCTAGCAGGACTTCTTTCAACTGGAGAGCCCTAACAGGTAGCTGTTCCCTACCAGATGGGCATCAGTTCTGGGATCCCCACAAGCAGCTGTAGCTGGTTGAGATTCCATAGATTAGGCCAACCAGCTGTATCTGACCTGCAGTCTCAGGCAGTGCAAGCTCTAAGTACTGTGTGGTGCAGCAGAAGAAAAGCAAACATGATTTTTACCTGACTTATATCATGTAAGCAAGATAACTCCCTAAGTGGAATCAATTGTGCCTCACGTTTCTTGATGTAAACAGAATTCTTTTATCTGAATTCTTCCCGCTTCTATTTCCAAGCTTTAAGCTTCAGAAATTCATCAGTTACTTTGAAAAACATACAACTACACTCTAGTTTCATGTGCAGATACATAAGAAATGAGGATGACAGCTGGCTGAATCTGTACCTCTCCCAGAGGCCCAAGTACAGGTTTCCACTTCAAGGATCAAAATCAGTAGAGGTGAATCAATAGATTCTGATTACCTTGTAGAGAGTGTCCCCAGTGGTGCTATGAGTGAGCTGAACTACCACATAAGCATGTAGGAAATTAGAAGCAATCATATCAGGGACAAAAGGTGTGCTTTCATCCTGGAAGATGATGGCTACAATGTCATTCCCAATGTGACGCTTCCGCTGAAGCTGGAGAGGAAAAAATAATAAAGAGAGAAGGCAGGTGAAAAAGAGCAGAACAGTTCAACAGGGCCTCAAACATCAGTTTGCCAAGCATCTCAAACCCCTCTGTTCAACTAAACCCCTCACCACTACTTTTACCATTACTCCAGCCACAATCCCCAACATTATACATAACAGAACAGTCAATTCTCCCCTCTATGCAGTCCTTCTTTGAACACCCCTCCTCTCTTAGCCACACTGTTGGAATCCTCCTTCTGATACCTGCTGGGAATCTCCCTCTGTGAAGGGCAGCTTTGTAGATACATGAAACATGATCTCCTTCCCCCGGAAATTTGTATAGACTGACTCAGTGCCTGTTTGACCTCTGGTAACATCCAAGCCTCCCCGGAACCTGAGCAAATCCATACCACGCCATAGGTCAGGCAGTAGAGATGAGAAAGGAGAAAGAAGAACAACAGTATCAGTAACAGTAGTACATCAGTATTATCAAAGGTAATTTTTAGGAAATCAGTGATAGTGAGGCACCAAATCTTCCCCAAACCAATGCACTGACTGAAGCTGCACAATGTTTCTGCTGGTGAACATACTAGCTTGCTAAAAGCTATGAAGCTAAACTAAGGATCCTCAAAGATGCTACTTTCTTTGGTATTCTTCTGAGAAACACACTCCATATTTCAGAACCACAGAAGGGATGGGCTGCCCCACAGAAAGAGACGAAAACAATACTGTCCCATACCATTGTGAAACAAACTTGTATTTGCACTTATTAAATAAAATTACTCTTTGCTGATACTGTGGGTCAGATTGAGATACCAGGAAAACACCAACATAGACCTGAGCTCCAACTAGTTTCCAGACATGATGGCCAACAAAAGGATCCTGGGCTTCTTCATCTGCACTGGGATTCAGAGGACACAGCACTTTTCGGAAAGCAAGGCTCTAACAGAGTCGCAGCCTGTGAACACACAGTATTCCCTAACTCAATCTGACTTTCCAGCTGCACTGGGTACGCACCCACGGAAATCCTGTAGCTGAATCTTGTCACCAAGGAAATCCAGGAACTCCAGGAAACCCTGACTCTCTACTGTGTTACTGAAGACTTCTTCTTCAGTTGTCTACAAAAGGAAAGCACAAGCTGTAAGAAGTGCAAGCAGCACAAAGAACAAGCGGTAATTTCTATGCTCAATTCAACCAACAAACATTTCTGCTTAAATACATTTCTGATCTGGGCCTACCATGGTGCTGGGGATTTCTGCCTCAGCCCCAAGCTGCCATTATGGTTAGACTTAGGGTTCAGAGATCCACAAAGCCTGCACCTCCATGGACACTGGGAGTAGAAGAAGCATGCCAAGGGAAGCATGGCATTGCAACAACATCGTTCCCTCCACACCTTTCTCATCTGGGCCACTTCAGGGTGCTGGGGAGTTTTGCCTCATCCCTAAGCTGCCTTTAGGGTTAGAGTTCAGGGATCCATAAAGCCTACAGCTCCAGGGACAATGGGGGTAGGCATGACTAGGTAAGCACAGCACTAGAACAACATTACTGCCTCCACAACTTTCATCTGGGCCGCCCATGGAGCTGGGGACCTCTGCTTCAAACACAAGCTGTCATTAGGGTTAGGGTTCAGAGATCTACAAAGCTGCCATGGACACTGGGGGTGGAAGAGGCATGCCAAGGGAACCATGGCACTGAACAAACACTGCTGCCTCCACATCACTGCCTCTGGACAGCACAGACCTTCTTATTACATTTAAGCTAAGAGAACTGACTCTTTGCATTTTGTCTCACATATAGTGGGATCTGACAGAGCTTACCTGTCCAGGTTTCTGGTAGATGACCCCAAACTTGAAGTTATTGCTTATGACGTGTTCATCAAATGCAACAATAAGCTGTGAAGCCTGAGGTAATGAAAACAGAAATTATCAGCTGGATGTCATTACCCACACCTTGATGGAAAAGTGACATACGGATATATCAGAACACTGTACCTTGGGATAGAGGACAGGAAAGAAGCGTTCAACATTCACATCCTCACACAGTAGCTGTCGAGTGAGAAAGAGAGGGAAACAAAAGCATGATTATCCTTTGCCCTAGCTTGCTACAGGCATGAGAGTGCAGGCACTGTTTACCATTATTTGACAGGAGCCCCTTCAGGCAAAAAATCTGAGCTAAAATTAGAAGAGAAAAAAGAGAAGCTAAATGGAAGAGTGGGAGGGAACTATATGACAGCTCTACTGGGAAATAGTGGCAAAAGAGGGAAATGGGAGGACAGAGGTGAAAATAACTTGAAGAAAAAAACAGGCAAGCATGAATCTCACCTTTGCCATCTGGACAGCATTGGGGAACTCATTCAGACAGGAAATGGGGATTAGGTCATGTTTGGTGCCAGTACGAGTCCTGACACAAAACAAAAAAAGGCATTAGAGACAAGCTGAAGGGAAACACAAGAAACACTGGTTCTTTCTTAAGAGTATCCATTTCTTCAGAGTTACCTTAAAGCAGTAAATTCCAAAGGGTTAATTTTAACCCTGGTGCTAAAGTCACTAGAAAAACAAGGTACTTTCACTTCTTATTGCTCATCACTTCTTATAGGGGGCAGAGGAAGACAAAACAAGAATGTTTATTCTCTTGCCCCTTTGCATTCTTTTCTTATTTAAAGAAATATTTTGCTTTTCTCTTGGCCCTCGATTTTCTTTCACAGAAATCTAAATGTTGAAATACAATTCATGAAAGATCATTCAATCAGGGCTTGAAAGACTGTAAAAGGTCTGTTATAGGCAGGCTAGAAACTGGTGTAACACTGTTCCAGAAAGCTGAAAGAGAAAAGCTTCCTTCCTCTTTATTTGTATATTTAAGGAGAGACATCTTTCTAAGGAAGAAGAAATATTGGGCTGTCAGAATCCTCTTCAAACCATTATAAACAAGCTATTGACCAAAAAGTACTGCATATCATAAAATATCTTAATAGAGGAATTACTACCCTTTTGTTCTTCCCCGGTCTCTTACAGGGAAGGGCTTGGGGCTCAGATAAACATTCTCAGGCACAACTCATAAACAGGCTCTCTCTTTATTCCAAGGTTATTGCTGGCACTGAAGCATTATCTGCACACAGTGGGGGAAACCCACCAGTGATTCTCTTGTAGCTGACTCCTATGCAACCAGTATTTTCCCTCAGTCCTGGATGAATCCTTGTCAGCAGCAACTGTACCAGAACAACTGCTAGTTCCAGTAGCATGTTGCCTACTGGAAATTCACCCAGCCCATAGTGTAGTAAAAAGCTTTTCCGAAGTGTTGCTTCTCACCTATGCAAGGTCCATCTCTGTTCTTCCTCTAGTTCATTCAGCAGCTCTCTCTGCTGAATGTCTCTCTGTGGAAGCCCTAAAGGTTATGGCACTTCATAGGCTGCCCTGGGAACCTAGGGGATGTTTAAGCTCACCTTCCAGGGAGCCTTCGTCTCAAGGACAAAGCCTGGGCTAGGCTGTCCTCCATTAAGAAATCTATATTCTCCTAGAGAGAACTCACATGTCTCTAAGTAAACAACAACAAAAAAAAGAACCAGAAAAACTTTCTATTTGAGGGAAGAACAGATATATTTCACACAGGTACTATAAAGATGCACTTGCAAGCACCACTTCAGCTTCCTGAAGGAGACTGCTGAGAGCAACTCAGAGGGGAAGGCAACCAAAAAAAAGGCTCAAAGGTCCTCTCCAGAAGAAAGACATGAAATTCAGATCCACATTCACACACAAGGTAAGATGAGAAACATAGCACAGTGACATATGCTTCAACAAAAGGCACTGTTACCTCAGCAGCAGGCGTAGATTTTCCTGTTTCTCGACCTGTTCATACTTCACAGAAAGTACTAGGTAGCCCAAGGACATATCACTGGAGTAAAAGTTCTGGTGCTCCTGCAAACAGAAAGCCAAAATGCATTATTCCCACGCTTCCCAGAGAAATTTACCAGATTTTTTTGCATACAACCTGTCACTCAAGATTAGCTAATTTTTAATTTAACTAGCAATAGCATGCTTGAAGACATGCATATGCTGTCTTCCAGCCCCCTTGATCATCAATGCATGAGCATATCAGTCAGAGTGCATCCACTATCAATTCATTTTCTCCTCACCTGTCCAACATCAGAAGGACTCCTGAGAAGGAATAGGATTAGAACATTCAGCAACACATTTTGAAGAAATTGAGTTTCTTGTAAACAAAATCGTATCTTTCGTGGACTTTCCCTGTATTCATTCAGACTCTTCATGACTAAGCAGTGGTCCTCAGCACATTCAACTGGATGTGGTTGTGGGCATTTTCTATACAAAAAGTAAGGATCATTATGCCAAATGGTTGACCTCCAAGAGTGCTCACATCTCAGGAAGGATACAGCCAGTAAGAAACCACATTGCAGATGAAGACTGTTCTCAGCAGTGACACTTACACTGCTTGAGCTTTAGCAGAATGTGCCTAGAACAGAGTCATTCAGTCAAACCATGAACCATAATGCAAACATTTCTACAGTCTCTATATATAAGTGGCTGTGGCCAAACGTTTCTCCTGGCTGTATAGCCATATTCCTTCCAATGGCCTACACATATCAATACATACTGATATATAACCTCTAATCTCAAAAGGTTAAAGCCTTTTGACACAGGATGTGAATGGAAACCTCTAGCACAATGAAAATACTACACAGGTGGAATCATGTAGAAATGCTTGGATCACTCCCATCGTCCTAGTGGAAAACCTCTTTTACAGACAGTATCCAGAGCTGGCTGCTACAGAAACTCTGACCGAAGCACCGAGACTGAGTTTATGCTTTCAGCAAACTGTCCAAACTTAATGAATTTTAGGTATAAGCACAGAGAGACCAATGAAAACGTCATGCAGGGGATTTGGTTCTCTTTGGATTAGATTAGTATCTTAATCTTTTGCTGATAATGAGAACTTCCGTTGAAAGTGGCAGTAGTACA